TGTCACAGAATAGATATAGAGCAGAAGGTTCACTCAAGGGTAAAAAGTGTGCCAGAATGTCAGCCGACTTCCGGCGTGGCCGCCATGTTGAAAGCAACCAAACCAGAGGAAATTTTATAGGAGTTAATATGGCGGAATGCGAAATAGAGCCACTAAAAGTGCTCTAGCTTTTTATGTATCCAAGCAAAACTCATGATACTTTGAAATATCATAAAGAAGAGGTTGTTCTTTAATTTAATTGTTACTATGAGGATAAGAAACGAATTTAAGCGTGGAATTTGGCCATTGTCATACATCGATTAATTTCACCTCGGTCTTTGGCGAATAGTGATAAACATATAAAGTTATATAGCTTATGTGTGGTTAGTCTGATCGCCGTAAAATATGTTTTGAGTGATAAGTTGGTGATATTTCATGGTGTACAAAAAGATTAAGGACGTGAATGCCATGAACAATGAAGGAAATAAATCGAGTTCATCGAACCTTCTGTGAATCTGTGATCAACTAAGTGAACTAACTATTCAAACAGTGTAATTCAACTTGGCATATTGGCCTACAATCGTTTAATATAAAATAATATTGCGATATGAAAGAAATTGCTGGACCTACTTCTTCTTCAAAAATGAATTTTAGAGATAATATATTGACTTGAACCTATTGAAATCCTTTGGCTGTGACTTTACAAATTTGGTATCACAAGTGACAAGGCCTCCTATGACATTATCATGTCGTTCATTGATATTGGAAAAATAGTTTAAAGATCAATGCTTGGATGAATCAGGGAACTTCATTTACAAAACAGACAATAAAAGACCTGATTTATCTTAACGACAGTTTAAATTATAAATCTGTCAGATTCTAATATACACTCTAGTTTTTAAGATACATACAGTATTAACAGTTTACTCTACAATGAGGGGAAAATAATCTGAATATGAGAATTTTCTCTGTTACTCAAGTTTATGTTACATTTAGCACCAAATACATTATTGTTGCTATCACCTTAGGGGCTGTTTACATGAGCCCGGCTAGCCATGCAGGCTGGCCCAGTTAACCAGGCTGAAGGCCTGGCTAGCCAGGAGGTTACCTAAGCTGGTGACTTTACATGGAGAAATTTCAGCCCGGTTATCCGGGCATCCTCTTTGACTCGAGTGAGATCTCGGCTAGGCAGATTCTTGTTAAATGATTTGAATTAAGCTGGGTGCCTCAGTTAACAGGACTAGTCGGGCTCATGTAAATAGCCCCTTAGTTATTAAGACTTGTTGGCAGAGTAAAATATATCAGGCAATAAAACTGGTTTCAACTTGCAACAAATCGGATGTTGGTGCATGTAAGTTGTTATTAAGACTTGTTGGCAGAGTAAAATATATCAGGCAATAAAATTGGTTTCAACTTGCAACAAATCGGATGTTGGTGCATGTAAGTTGTTATTAAGACTTGTTGGCAGAGTAAAATATATCAGGCAATAAAATTGGTTTCAACTTGCAACAAACCGGATGTTGGTGCATGTAAGTTGTAGTGTTGTTTTTACAAAGGGAACCAAGTAAATGAAACTTTAACATCTAGTGTATTCCACTATGTACAAGTTGTACAACCCCAAAAATGTAAACAACACTTTGATTTGATTTGATTTTAGTTCCATAAATCCATATTTTTTATCCATATTATCAATCCATATTTAATTTGATTTTAGTTCCATAAATCCATATAATTTAGTTCCATAAATTTGAGTTTAGATCCATAAATCTATTAAGATCTGCAACTGTCCTACATGCACAAATGCCATCCAATGTAATGACCTAGATGATAACAGGAAGCAGTTTTTTTTTCATTAAGGCCTTTAATCAAACAGAAAACACATTTGAAGGTCTTCATGTTCCAACAAATTGCTTTCTGGGTTCTTCAATCTTCATGTTCCAACAAATTGATTTCTTCATGTTCCAACAAATTGCTTTCTGCTTTCTTCATGTTCCAACAAATTGCTTTCTTAATTGTTTTTGAGGTTGTGCATTTACTACAGCTTGAAATTTGCCAATCGTGAACTTTCCAACACTAAAAAGAAGAACAGAAAATATTTGAAGGTAGCGCATCTTTAACCATGTGCACTGGACAATATGCTGTGTTGCCAAAACAATTAATCAGTATAACTTCTACAAGTTATAATTGCTTAAAATCTTTTACACCAAGTACATAAGAACTGAACTGTAAGATACAAGGCTGGTGTTAAATCTAATATTGATGGTAATCTACACAGGAGAAATTACTAATATGTTGCTACACTGAGTAAATTTATACCAAATCAACTTTACCACAGTAAGAATGCAGCCCACAACCCCTGGTTTACAAGACCAATGCATTCCAGACTGAGCTACACAGTTTGAATGTGCAATATTTTATTATTTTGGAGCTTAATTAGTCTCGCTCCTTCACTAAGATGGTAAACCTAACAATGCCGATGGTAATTGATAACAGGTGAAATCATTAATTAAGATGGTGCTTGCTGAGTAAATCTACATGAGATTGGTGTGTTGCAATTTTGGGTCATGAACTGTAACTTCTGGCAAGTTAGTCTGCTCCACCATCATTGCTTGATACAGATGTGAACAAATATCGTGCTCATTACTGTTACCAGCAATCAAAGTTTAATATCAAAGTTACAAATTATAAACCAGTTCTGGTGAAAATGGATTCTACTCGCGCAGTTTACTTAGTTTAGTCCAAAAACGTTTTTGTTAATTAAGAAAAGAAGCCCAATACAAAGACATCACATCCCCTTTCACTGATCAGGTATATAATTTAATACGAATAGTAGTACGAATTATAAGGATATTCACAGTATAATATGCGCCTAAAATTAAAAAAATTCAACCTAGTGCGTTCTAAAAACAAGACATGACGCATTTTTCTTCAAGTTAAGTGGAATAGTAGTTGCAATAGTTTCAAACTACACTCAGAAAAACAACATATAAATGCGTATATATCCATCGGTGCCAAAACAGCATACAGTTTGCTGCGTTTAAAATGACAATTTTAGCATCATTCAATAAGCTTTTATTATAATAAAATGAATAATCTACCTTTCTTTTGTACGTCCTGAAAATTTCAATGACATCCACCATAAAATAACGACGATATACCCATTTAAAGTTATGAAATACAAGTTTCGCCATATTGGTTTATAATGTTTTGGCGAAGAGTTGGTTGCTTTCAACATGGCGGCCAGGATCCGGAAGTAACATGTGCCGGCACAAAAACTTCAAAGGTTCCGACTCGAGTGAACCTTCTGCCCTTCTCTATTTTGTGACTATATCTTGAACCTGAGAAATTGTGCGTATTATTTATTCAAATTCGGCATTTTACCAGCTTCAATCAAAGTTCATCATGGTATTAGGTTATGTATTAAAAGGCTTTGTAAACACGGGGAATACATGCTTCGTTAACTGTGTATTGCAGTCTATTCTCTCAACAAAGAGTTGCGTTGAAGGCCTGGATCAATTGCTGCACAATAGGAAACGATGCACGGCGAACAAAGAAGGTAAGTAAGTTTCTGTACCTTTTATTTCTTCTTGGTTAGGCCACCATTTGTTGTATATTAGTTTCTCATCCCCGCCCGCATGCTTTTTAAGAAAATGGTCTTGTTCCAACCTCGTTCCCAGGGTCTTTCTTAGAACGGCGCGAGGCGAAGGAAAGACCCTGGTTTCGGCTGGTCACGTGTCACCCAGATTCTGGGTGATAAATTAAAATGATACTATGGGCAGGGTGGGAGAGGAGCGTGTTTGTCGCGTTTGTAACAATATTTGCAATTTTGTGTGATGAAATTTAAATTTGCAACAAGAAATCGTGAAGAGAACTGCAATTAAAAATTAATATTTATCGTGATGTGACTTTCTGCTCTATAATCTAGTGTCGAGTTACAATTCAAGCAAGTTGGATCAGATTTCAACTTACAAAGAAAGCACGCCTGGGCGGCGTGGCAATATTAAGCCTACAAAAAAATTCATATCTCTAGACCGACCAATGTGGTTTATATTTATTTAACTGTTAGTATTAAAGTATATCCTGATACTCGGATCAAAAGAATATATTTATTGATGAGATGTGGAATTGGAACGAAATAGCGAGATCTTTTGATTTCCGAAATATCGCCAAGACGCCAACTGTATCGACATTGTTGATTATAAAGGCCTTATCACAAAACTTAAATCCCGTCAAAAGACTATAAAATTTCCTGCAAGATCTCAACGATCATGGTATATGTCAAAGTCTAGCTGTCTGTTGAAAATTTACGGTATTACAGTAAAGTCATACATCAAAAATAAGTCAAACGACAATATATTTGTCTTACTGTTTACCACTGTGTTTTAAACCACATTTATAAATTTTATAAACAGCTTTCGTTTTGACACAAGTTTTAATTTTCTGCTTTATATATATTCTTAATAATACAAGTGAGATTTAAATTTTTTGCTTTGTGAAATAGAATACCGTTATTTTTTAATGGACAGCTTGTATCGTCTCTATCATATCCAGGATTGCTTGTGTGTAAATACTATAGTATAGCCTACATGTATCACTATATATGCCACTATCAAATAAATATAGAAGTATAATTTTAATGAACATATTGAACTAGAAATAAACATATGATTGAGACACAATGAAAACTGTTAGTAGCCTAATAGTAGAAGTAGAAAACTCGAAAATTTATGTGTATTCGTATGGCAGTCTGTGCGCGTCTGACACTGTAAATTTGTGATGAAGATTATAGCCTAGTTGTGTGCATATTAGGAAAACATTATCTGACCAAGAAAAAGGCTAAAGCCTTACTATAATTAATGAATACGAATTATGTACTAAATCCAAAATTTTAAAGATAAACCACTGACAGACATTTCTGTTTGGCTAGTATCAAATGTTTACATTTGCTGATATTGCATGAGCTCTACTCCTAGGCAATACAATACAATACTGTTTCTTTTAAAAATCTTATAAACAAGACGTGCAAAGCATAGCAACGTTTACAAAAAAGGACAAATCTAATGCGTGTTTTAAAAACATTAGATATGTAGAAATGGTGACCACTGAAAAGCCCATAAACGTTTGTTATAAAACCGCGCTGGAGTGTGAAGACAGCATTGAATAATAATAACACGAGAGAGCACTGCGAGTAACGATTTGCTTGGTTTCTTGACTTGACTGTTGGTAAAAATGTAAGAATGTTCTTGTAAATTCAATGCAAATAAAATAAACAAAAATTAGCAAGTACTTTGAACTTACTCGTAATAGTTCGCAAAATTTATGTTTTTAACTGTTTGTAATTTGATACTTTCACCACACCCCCCCTCGGGCAATCAATTTTGGACGAGGCACGTGACCAGCCGATACCAGGGTCTTTCCTAAAGACCCTGGGAACGAGGTTGGTCTTGTTCGCCATTATTGCAATTTTTGACCATTATTATAAATTTTGTAATGTCTTCAAAGCGAAATTTGAAAGAAAGACAATTAGAAATGTTCCCAAACCAAGTGTTATAGTTAAAATACGAAATTTCATACCAAAACTGCCAGTTTCTCCCGCATTATAATTACGTACACGCTTATCAAATATGCAAACTCGAGACGACTTGGCTACAAAATTATTTCATATGTGGAGCGGCCATGTTTTTAATATGAAAACATGGTTTCAGTTGCACTTACGAATTTAGTGCTGTTTTGCAATGCTGAATTACAGGGTATGGAAACATTCAGAAAGTTGCAGCTGTATAAAACATACAACGATTCCTGTATTTTCCGGTACGCACTATATAAATGCTTAATGCGCACTTTTTCAAAGGTAAATTTTACGGAGAGGGGAAACCCGGCAAATAATGGCATAATGGTAATGGCCCGCCCGCCCGCATCAACTTTAGGTGAAGCTCCGGATGAGAAACTAATATACAACAAATAGTGGCCTGAATACGTGTGCAATTTCCCATCCTTCCAACTCTCACGCATTTTGCGTGAGACACACGCATTTGACATATTTCTCACGCTCACACGCATAGACACTATTTTCTCACGCAAAAGCGAAAAAAATAGGAAGCGATCCAACTTTTGTTCACAACGCTTCTCTTCGCAAGCAAATATCCCTTATATTTAGCTGAATCAATAGCTATAAGATAAACTATTTTTCGAGCAGTCGCTGTGTAACGTATATATAGTATTGCGTAAGTTGGACTATTGCGCAAATTCGTAAATTAACACTTGAGGGATTTTCCATAGAAATAATAGACATAGAATGCGTGCTCCTATCTTTTCTCAGTAAAAAATTTGTCTCCACAAAATGGCGCATTGAAAAGGGCATTTTGGTTGGTCCCAGACTCCTGAGGCAGGGAATTTCGCGCGGTTGCACGGAGTGCGAATTATTTTTTCAACTGAAAAGTTTGCAAAAAATTTTATATCGGGACTTAAAATGGAAAAAAAAGTTTGGTAAACTAAGGAAAAGTGTCTAAAAACCCATTCCAGTGGGTTTGTTTACGAAAAGAAATAGTTCTGAACAGAATATATGAAGAAATCGTCGTTTAAAAATAAATTTTCAACGTTATGTTGTTGTGCAAGCCAAAACAAAACACAAAAGATCAAGACAAACTCAATAGGTATGTTCTACTAATTTTTTCAGTTAACTCTTTTACAATATAAATGGAGTTCAATAATCTTTTTAAACTTACACAATTATTTTTCATATTTTTCTACGTTGCTTGAGCTTGAGGCAACGCTTTTGAAACCATGGTTTTCGACGATTATTTTTAGGCAATTTTACTGTTTATCGACAACTATAAAATGTTTCAAGAACATGAAAACAGTTCGTTTACATTGCAGAAAAACGAAACCCGACAAAGAAAGAACTATCATTTTGTAATCTTATAAGATATTGGCAAAACAGTTACGTTTAGAGCATGCAAAAATGTTTTGAGTAAATTATATTTTCGCGAAACTACTTTGCTTTGAAAAGGCTGCACGATTTTCACTGTTTTCGTAGTGTTTTGTAACTGCACATTTGCTTTGACAGTATGTGCCTTCAAGACAAAACGTTTTGACGATGAAAACGTAGTTTTAGCTTTGTTTATACTTTGTAGTTTGCACTCCTGGCCAAAATTCAAAATGGCACATTCAAAAGGGCACGCACCTGAAAAAGTGGAGACATGATTCGTCATTAGCACGCATTCTATGTCTATTATTTCTATGGGATTTCCCCAGACCGACGCTTTATGTAAAATAACTATAATCTTATCAATTAGCGCGAGTTGCTTTAACTGTACTGTGCCTTCCTCACTCAAATGCAGAAGAAGAGCGAGTTTTTAGCACGACTGGAAAGAACAAACGTGCAGAGCGTCCAAGCCTTCATGTTAAAGGAACAATTTCATCAACAATTTGAATGCTAAGACTTTCACGCCTCCAGTGTCCGTCTTAAAAGCAGCTAAATCTGCTACTTATGAATACAACAAAGCACATAAGCGCAAGCTATAACTCATTAATATTTAAATTTAGAATGATTTTTAACGAAATAAATGAAACTTATAATAACTTATAATTGCAAGCAGATGTCCAAAAAGTGTTACTTTTGAGATTTTTTAATGACATTTTTGTACCTTTAGAATTCTGTTAATCTTCTCCCAAAATGCAGGAAATGGCATTTCAGAGACTCCAAATTTAAAAATTTTCCAGGGGAGGGGGGCATGCTCCCGAAGATCTATAAATTATTCAAAGCGAGATCTATAAATTATTCCAATAGATTTCGATATTTTTTTACACACATAGTTTATATGCGGTTTCCATGCGAGATTTTCATCTATGTAAATTCCCAAGAATTTAATAACTTGTTCTTGTTTTAGATGTTGATTGTCGAAAACAATAGCTGGTAAATTGACACTGATTTTCTTTCGCCTTGATTTAAAAATAATATAACTTGTTTTCTTTATGTTAACCGAAAGTTTATTGGATTTCACCCAGTTATCAATTTCAGTTAATTCCGTATTTAACACAGAAATGAAATGTTTTGGATCCGAGTGAGAATAAAAAATGCCAGTGTCATCTGCAAAAAGCAAAGTCTCTGCCATTCTCGCAGCGTTGGGTAAATCATTAATGTATAATAAAAATAATAATGGGCCTAATATTGAGCCACAACGTATAGTCTGTACTTCCCCAAATCCTATATACATGATGGGGAAACCAATTATTAAAGTAACCACTGACAAATTATTATTTATAATCAATATTTTTTTATTAGTATTAACATTTCATTTTATATTATTTATATTTAGAATAAAAAAAATATCCCAGAAAATTACATTAGAAATTTTTGATCCTGCGCTTCTAACCTGTATGAGTAACATCGACAAAAATAACAAAATAGGGTGGTTTGGCCTTAACGAGCAGGTGCATAGCAAGCACCATATAAATACCAGGGGGGGGGGGGAGGTGAGATAAGAATTATAAGATTGTTGATTTGTGGCAAAATCCCCCCTCTCCAACAGTTTCTAATATAAAGATTTGGAAGAATTACAAATTCTTCTCTGCTGACGAACAGTGGGAGAGGCTCCCCCATATCTAATACGAGCAGAGAAAATTTAACCAATAAATATACATAACATAATCACTATTTTATGATAGTAATGGTAATCTACATTGTTCACATTATATTTGTAAAAAAGATTTAAGATGACAATGACAAAAATACATGGTAATAGTAATATTTTGTAATGATATCTGGTATTCATTTGATATTCATTCAGGAACAAAATGTATAATATGCAGTACAATGAATGTCTTCAAACTGTACAATGGAGCACCACAAGTTGTTCGACCAGCAGCACTGCTTTCTTGCTTGCCCCAAATTATGAGTGGTTTTGTCAAAGGTTCACAGCAATGTTCAGCCGAATTTTTCCAATCATTTTGGAGGATTTTGGAGGAAAAAGCTCATCATCTGCAATCAACGGATCTTATACCACGATATTGTAGCCTTGAATTTCTGAATTCATTTTGCTTCTCACTCAGGAGTGAAATTTTATGCAGCGAGTGTGACAATACTACAAGTAACTGTGCCACTGAGACAGTGCTTCCATTATCTATAACAAAGGTATATATATATACCCAAAGAAATAGAAAGTCATTGTCAGTGCTAGATCCATGCAAGCATTCATAATTTCTTTGTGAGGTAGTGTGAGATTATTTGGATGTGTAAATTAGCCACCTTGGAGTTCAGAAAAGGACTGTGTTTAGTGTTAAAAAGTAACAAAATAATTTAGTGCATTTTAAAATGACCTCTCAGTTCTTGAGTATTTACCACCAGCAATTTTTCCTTAATGTTACGGTAGATAAAATAGTTTGAACAGCATAATAGGTAAATACACACGTGGACACATTTTATTACATTAATAAACAAAACTCAATTGAACATTATTCAATAACTGGAAACTCATTTGTTCTTTTAACCACAATTTACCAGGGATTACCTTTACAAGATTTGTTGGACCAATACTCTGCACCAGTTCAATTGGAACAGCCCTACAACTGTGAAAGGTACAGTTAGTACATATACTGTGATGCCACCAGTATTAAGCAGGTGCAAATACAGTTATTATGCCCTGCACTGTGACGTCACAGGTGTTTTGTGTCACTATTCAAATAGGTTATAGGTCTGGAGGGGCACGTGATTTGTTGTTGTAGTTAAGGTGGCTCCCTGCTGTTTTCGGCAAGAGGAAAATTGATGATTTGGATTTTTGAACAATTGTGAAAAGCAAATAATATTAAGTCCTATAAATTACTATCTGAAGAGTATAATATTTTTAACCAAAAATGACGTCATTTCCATTGCTATGGTAAGGCCACATAAAATAAATTCCTTGATTCTCATCACTACACTTTGAAAATGTCGAAGAGGCGGGAGGTTTATATTTTATATTTATATAATTTAATATATATCAATAAATAAAAGTGTCACAAACTGAAATAAACATATTCCTCCACGAACAATGACTGGCCCTTGAACTGAATGCGAAGTTCCGTTAAAATGCAATGAAATTTCTTTCAAGGTTCTATTTGTTTGAAATTGGCAGTTTAAAATGGCACTAAAAACCCAATATAAAATATAAAAAACCCAATATAGAATATAAAATATTTTGTCGGGCGGTACATTTATATTGTATAACAAAATATAAAAAAATTTCACGCGGCTCTTAAAATACAGTCGGGCGGTGATGAGAATCAAGGAATTTATTTTATGTGGCCTAACCATGACGTATAATAGCGAAAGTAATTATTAACTTTTAAAAAAATTGCCAGTGTAGACACCCACCGTTTTTTTTTCAAGTTAAATTAGTTTAATTAATGTCAGAAAATCGGCCATATTGAGACGTGATGGTTACCATAGCAACGGAAGTGGTCATTTTTGGTAAAAATTTCTGCTCTCGGATAGTAAATTTCACAACTCACTACTATTTGCATTTTAACAAGTCACAATTGTTCAAAAATTCCACCCTAAATCATATTTTCCTCTTGCCGAAAAACAGTAGGCCACCTTAAAATGGAGAGTGTAATGGGGAACACTTAGAGTGTTAAAACAATTATATTACTACTAAAGCCAACTTTCCATCATTTTTAGAGTGTACAGCGTTAAATTAACGTAAAGTACTAACACATAAATTTGTACCACATACACGTTTTGGTTATTATTAAGGTGTGGTAAAGGAACTGATGCCTGGAAAAGAACTTTAGTGCGGAATCCACCACAGGTATTATGCATTCAGTTATTGCGCTTTGACGCAAATGGCCAAAAAATAAACAAGGAAATAGATTATCCACCCGAACTAACCATACCTGAGTATCAACGCGATTTGAAAGATGGCAGAAGTGCAACATCGACAGCCAAATACACCCTTTCTTCAATAATTGTACCTGAAGGAAACCAAATATCGTCCGGGCATTATGTTTGCTATGTCAACAGAAGCGGGAGATGGTTTTATACAAGTGATACCGTTGTTAAAGAAACATCACAGTTAGCCGCATATCACCAGAATGCATGCATGCTTTTTTACGAGAAAAAGGAGCAACAAGGCCACACCAGTGCAAACGTCGTGTTTACAAAACCAGTACCTACATGTAGAAAGGATAAAGAACCCGTATTAAATATTAACACTTATGCGAAAGCAGTTGCAAGGGGTACTTCCAGCAGCTCTGCCGAAAGGCTCTCTTTGTCTTTATCCAAGAAACGCAAGGCTGCTCCTTCACAGATACCTCGTAGAGATGAAAATCCACTCTCTTTGTCGACATCTGTTGGCCCTGCGCCAGACAGCTTTTCTTCAGACACGCCAATAACTGCAGAGTTCACAAAAGAAGAACCACTTCACTCTTCATCACTCACATCAACTTTTAACAGATCTATGTCATCGTCAACACCTGCACAAGTGCATTCAAGAGCTGAAAGAACCGCAGTTTCAAGCTCTAAAACGACCTCCATGAGTCCAGCTCCCAAAATTAAAATATCAACAATTCCTAATCCTTCATCATCTCCATTGAAGATGCCTGTATGTGACGACAATTCGACCAACGATGTAGTAATTACTAAAGTCACAAAACTACCGACAAGTTCATCAACTGATAAAGAGCAAGAAGATATCACAATAAAAGTAATGGTCCCACCCGATTACTATGTACCGATAGATTCTCGAAGCGCCAAACCAGGATTGTTCAAAACCAGGATAGATGGAAATGCTGTACGTCCAAACATGTATGTATCCCTAACTGAAGAGGAGAGAAAACGCGCACAAGAGACAGCATTCGCAGGCGTACAGATTAGCGTAAGTGAAAGAGTAAAAGAATGGGATCCGACAGACATCATTCGCCTACTTCCTGCATCACACAAGCTTTCTGATTCCCTGTTATCTAACTTTTTGGTGAACAAGATTTTCCTGATGATTGAAGAAGAAGCAGTTAAGCAGGGAAAACAAGTCCACACCTGCAACATGGAAGTTCTCCAACGTATGACAGAACCTTCACTTGAGATATTTTTAAAATGCCAGTATGATCAACTATACCCTGATATTTTAGATAGTGAAGTAATACTCTGTCCTTCTTTACACGGAGATCACTGGTGTTTAGTTGATGTATACCCAGCAATAAAACGAATGGTTTATCTGGATTCTCTCTACCAAGGAATAGGGGCAAAAAGGGCATTCCAACGCGTTGGCAATTTCATTGCATGTGCCATGAAATTGCAAGGACAAAAGTATAGTATTGACGAGTGGGATTTTTTTGCAATTCCAGCGAACGACATTGAACAACAGCTGAACTCAGTCGATTGTGGCGTGTTTGTGGTAAAATTAATGTTTGTGGTCAAACATTAAATACAATTCTCAAGGTGGCTATAAGAGAAAAGGTGTCAGAGTTTCATTTGCCCAGTGGTATATTTGCGAGTGTAAAAGAAAGGAACTGAGCAGGAACCAAAAAGAAGCGAAAGCCGAAGCTATGAAACGTAGGCAGGAGCGTCACGACACTCATGCTGCTAATGCCGAGGTCATTGACAAGATCCATTTACTATCCAACATCCGCGATAAAAAAACAGATTGTGAGAGTAAAATGGTAATAAAAGTGCGTACTAAAGCAGTGGAAGGAATTGTCTGTAATGTGGAATTATGGTGGAATCACAACCACAGCGTGGACTGTCATCACCTTACCAGCTTTAGCCAAATCTTACCTGCAACGAGACACAAATTTCTAACTTATTTTGAGCAGGGCATGTCTGCGTCGGAGTCGTTCCATTATCACGAAACAAAGTTAATGAAAGATCCTGTTACCGTTCTTCTCTTAGCTGATAGAAAGTACTGCCCATCCTTGATAGACGTTAATAATCTCTATGAGAAGTGGAGAAAAACAACAAAGGGACCATGTAATGGATCTGAAATGTTTGACTATCTGCAAGAGTATATTACAACATATAATAAAGACAAAATGAATGATGGTGGCAAAATCTTTCTACAAAGATATAACAACGAAGTAAAGCAGGAGAAACCATTGATCATTTCCATATGTACTCCAATGATGTCACGTGTACACAAGTTACGGCAGGCTGGTGAAATGGCTTTCATGGATGCAGCTGGGAGTCTTGATCGACACAATAACCCAGTTTATTTTATGTGTACTCATCATCCATCTGGTGCCCTTCCTTTAGCAGTGTGGATAACTTCCAGCCAGTCAGAATCCACTTTGAATAGTTGCTTACAGAACGTTGTATCAGTGCTACCGCAACATGCATTTGGTGGAAAGGGGACAGCATCTGGTCCTTCAATTTTTCTCACCGATGACGACAGTGCTCAGAGAAATGCTTTGCGTGCATACTGGCGTTCATCCATTCTTCTTCTATGTATATTTCACTTCCTTCAAGCTGTTTGGAGATGTCTTTTGGATAGCACCAATGCCATTAATAAACATGATCGGCAGCACTTAATGTCCCTTTGCCAAGGACTGGTATTCGCGGACACAGTAGAAAAATTTCATGTCAATGAAACCCAGATGCAGACAGACAAAACGGTGTTAAAGTATCGTAATTTCTATGACTACATTAAAAATGCGTTAGAAAGAAAAGAACAATGGGCACTTTGTTTTAGAAAAGGACTTCTGACAAGAGGAAATAACACAGACAACTTTACGGAATCTATGATTTTCGTTTTTAAATGTGTCATCTTAAAGCGTATCAGAGCGTATAACTTGTTAGAATTAGTGAAATTCATAACTGAGGATTTGGAGATGTATTTCCAAAGGAAACTGTTAGCTCTTGCGTTCGGTAAGCCACAAAATCTTCATGTTACTGCGCGATGCTTTGGAAGAAATGCGAGTACAGTGCCAGTTGACAACATCACCAGGGACATCGAAAATCCTTTTCATTTTAATGTTACAAGCAGAAAGAACAAGGACCTCACTTACCAAGTTGACACCAGTTTAGGGATTTGCACCTGTCCACATGGAGAAAATGGCTCAGGTTGTGCACATCAAGCTGCGGTTGCCTTAAAGTACGGAGGTGGTAACATCAACTTTATTCCACGATCCGCTCAAGATCGATACGCGCTTGCTGTTTTAGCAATAGGAGATAATCCCCAACTCAAAGTAAGACAGTTTGTTCAGCTGCATGAAAAATCTGAAAGCGTTATGAATGTGAAGAAAGATGTAAATGGAATTGAAACGGTGCCTCAGCAAAACAAGGAAAAGGATGTAAAGGAAGACGAGCAACGTTGGCATGACACCGTCCTAGGCCATACAGAAGACGAACCTGTAGCCCTCAAGGAAATTCTTAAACTGCATCAGGAAGTTGCAGCCGACATCGAGTTAAAAATAAGGAACGAAGATGATAACTTTAAGAAATGTTATTACAATTTCCTAAGGACGTACCGAAAAATAGTAACAAAATGCCGTGGCCATTCCCCCGTAGCATCGCTTGCAAATGCATTTGTACATTTCGGAAAGCAACAAAGCAGCAACCTTATTCCAGTCTTGCACAACGGGTCAAGAATACGTGTTCAGCCAACATCAATCTCTCGAAGAAAATCTGGTGTGAAGTCATCTTCTGCTCAACCTTCAGGTCCTAAACCAAGGCTGCAGACAGGGATGAAAAGAAAGTGGCAAGCAGATGATAAGGAAAAAATGAACATAAGGAAATTAGCCAAAAAGAAACGCCAACGTAACTTGAGTATGAATGTAAAGAAAAACCTTGCAAATGCTGGACCAAAACGATAACGAGTAGTAACAATCAAGCCTACAGAATTAAAGAGATATTTAAAAAGATGATAGTAACTGAACAGTAAGTAATAACCTTGAATAAACATTGCACTTATTACACCCGTATTTTTGCTGCTGTTGGAAACTACATGTACCTTTGAACATTGCACTTATTGGACCCGTGTTCCTGCTGCTTTTGGATGAAAACTACCTTTGAACATTCATAGCATTTACTATCCAATCATGTTTGTGTTGACACAAATATTACCAAGACAGTCTTGTCTTTTTAGACCTACAGTATACTGTGATCCTAATGTGACTGTCAGAAGAAACCTGCCTTTGAACATTGTACTTATCAAATTGTGATCCCACCGCTGCTTTTGGAAGAGAGTTATGTTTTGACATTGCATTTATTAACCAATTGAACGGCAGCACTCTCCACTCAATGAGTAAAATCGTCTGGCATTAGACACAGTAAAACATTAAAGTAGGGCACATCAATCAGGGTGCTTAAAGGGTTAAGAGGATGCATGGGTGTTGGGAGAACGTTTGCTACTGTACCAGAGTTTTGGCTTGCTCAAAGCATCCATTGCTGTTGAAAGGAATGCATAGTGACCATGAATATTTTCCTACCATTTGTGCTATTGTTGGGGGCTATCTACTTCATGTGCTGAAGGGAGCAATAGACCTTATGCACAATGACGTCACAAAGCTTGATGCCCGCGAGGAATGCTAGTCTTAGTCATCACCCAGGAAAATTTCAATAGTGGCCATTTTGAATTGTTTAATTTTCCCAGGCGATATGACTACTAAGACCAGCATTCCTCACAGGCTTCAAGCCTTGTGACGTCATTATGCATAAGGTCTATTGGTCAGAATTTTCTCTACTGTGATTTCAAATATGGTATCTCGTTTCCACTCTTGGATTATGGTATGTTATTGTCAGTGTAAAATATTGGGTATAAGAACCTACAGCATGTACCCTACTTTTGTCATTTAAGAATAAGTGGTAATCATTTCATATTAACAGATACATTATTGAGATACATTATTGAGCAATATGATTGGACAGTGATCACATGGCTATTGAACACACTATATTTTTCCATCTGTGTTGAAGAAAGGCATATATTTATATTTATTATATAGACAATGGTGTTTTACTGGAAACTAAAACTCGTAGAACTCATGCGCCACTACATCCGGGACCAGATGCGAGTATTTTCCATATTTCACCCCTGCTAGTGACATACGAAGTTCGAAAATTTCCCGCCATTTTTATTGTTGTTGTTTTGAAAATAGAAATGGTCTTTTGTTTGCATATGCAATGAACGGAATGTAGGAAATAAAACCAAAACATTTAAAAGACATCTTGAGATAAGTAAAATGTATTCTAGTTTTATGTTTGCACCATAATTAAAAAAAAATATCGCTTTTGTACTGGTCTTTCGCGTGCTTATTTACATGTTGTCTTTGTGTATTTTTGTCACTCTGAATAAGTTAATATAATAAACAGAACATTAAACGGTTGCGAGAAGATATATATGTTCTAATAAGGGAGTGGTCATTATTTATGGGGTGGTTGTAAATGGGCAAAATAAGGATTGAAAACTTTTTTGACCCCCCTCCAGACTGAAGGAAAACGTTTTGTGTCCCCCCCTCATAAAAGTAGAAACTTTTCTGACCCCCCCCCAGTGTGGATTGAAAATTAACAGCAATGAAACAGGTGTGTGTTGCAGGTAAAGTTAGATATTAGGACAATCTGTTTAATCTAGCTCATGATGTTTTACCCTGGTGAATATGATTCAACCATATATGATTAAAAAATATATATTATGTGTTATATATGTGACTGTATATTATGTGACAGGTGTATATTATGTATTATTATCTGGGGGAAGGGACCATACTACTGTATACTGAGTGTGGAGAGATGCCAGATGGTTGTTGGTGACAAAAAGTTTGGTGTGGTATCATATGTACTAGTAGGGGGGGTCTGGGGTATTCTCCCCCAGAAAATGTTTTGTATTTTCCACCCCTAGGACTGAAATGTGAGCATTTTCTGAAACAGATTTTGGGATATACAGCGTTACATTGTGCTTTGATAGACCAAATCTGATCAGCTAAGTGTACTTGCATGGTATGTTTATGTAAATACCACAACTGGGTCACTCAGGGGGTAGGAAGCTTGCTAAACTTAGTAGGCCTGACTCCCACGAGGCGCTACCATGGTTGGCACCGAGCGGGGAAATTTTGAAAATTTACAGTCTCTAGGTTGTTGGAAATGGCATAATTTTCAGAGTCTTCTTTTGCTATTTGTGATTATAGAAATCAGAACTCTAGACATTGTATTTTAGTTCAAAAACTTTTTTGACCCCCCCCTATTTATAAGGGTAAAACTTTGTTTGCCCCCCTCCCATTTACCAACCCCCCTCCCCATAAATAATGACCACTCCGTAAACGACAACCAATTAGTCAATTGTTAGTTGATTCATCAGTTGGGCATTGTACATACAATATTTTTTCGATAATCAACAGTATTCATTGCTCAGTTGTGTTCCATATGTTGGTGATATATGTGAGCTTTAGTATAAAGTTAAACAGCCCAGATTTACATACGCTTTTCATACCATTATAAAATTACCTGGGGATAAAGTGAGGGTATAAAATATATAATACTGTACATGGAATGGTCAACATTGCCATTGGGATATAACAATTTGTTGCACAAAAATTTGTATATACTTATTAAATTTTCATTCATTTATTATAAAATATGAATGTATTATAAAATATATAAATTATACTTTAGTACTTATTCACACTTATTCACTTTAGTACTTATTCACATCTTTATACTTACTTATGTCACATCTTAATAATATTAGGGATTGTACCCTGAGAGCAGAACCTGATTTATAAGGTTGCAAATAATATACAATTTATTGTAAACATATGTCCCATACAATTCATGTCCCATATGCTATTATATGTAAATACATAAATATAACCGACATTTCTCATCTTACCTCACAAAGTTGCTCTGTGTTTTGCTCTTTAAAAATGTTCTGTTCTTTGAAAAATACAGTAAATACTGCATTATTTATATGCACTGATAAAACATATAATACAGTCACGAGGTTTTAATAATAACCGAGCAGTAATAACCGAAAGTTTCATTGAATATTTATTAACGGTGAGTCGGTGATCTTTTTCCCACCGGCAAAGTTTCCCTATTGCATAATAACAGGCGCGGTTACAAAGCTCCCAACGAAAGTGATCCCAAAAAAAATTTCTGCTCACGGAAATCAAAAGCGTGCACAGAGAAGCACAGAGGGACTTGGGCTAGTCTGAGCGGCACAAACGCAACACAAACGCAGCAGAAAGCACTGGGTACGAGGTCAACAGGCCCCCACTCTCTGGCCCCCACTATGAGCTTGGCCCAAGTTATGATTGAAACAATATTGTATTTATTTAAAAAAAAACCACTTGAATCCCTTGATCGTCGATTATTTTTTCTCTCGAAGTTCTGTAAACCTCTTAATTAAACGGCTCGGAGTCATTATACTATCACTCTACATGACGTTTCACGGGGTACAGATGATCGCCGACAAGCTAGTAAGGAACGTGGGGGCGAAAAGTCGAAGGCGGCGGGGGGTTAAAACATCGACCGGTCATCGATTGATGTGCTGCAGGAGTACCTTGTCCTCCGGCAATTTCACAGGGTGCCCCAGCTAGTCCCTAGCTGTTCTGCGGGGGCCGACGAAAAACGAACCAATAAAACTGGCTTAGGTATGATGTCAGTCAGTTGTGACGTCACCATGCAAGGTGCTGCACCGTCCCTTCCCCACAGCTACCCCTCTCCCACCACTAGCAAGCGCGCGAGAGAGAGCCTAGGGCTAAGCTGAGGGAGCCCCACTATGAGTTATGTTTGAAATAATATTGTATTTTTATAAACCTACTTGAATCCCTTGATCATCGATTATTTATTCTCTCGAAGTTCTGTAAACCTTTTAAACGGCTCGAAGTCATTATGCTTGGCGTCATGAGAACAAAAAGCCTTTGAGTGTTTCACGTACAAATTACAAAAAAATCAATCCGAATCGTGTATTGAATCTACTATATCGGGATGGGGGGGGGGGGGCTATATCAGTTGTGAAGATATCCAGGGCCGTCCTCTGGGAATTCTCCAGGGGGGTATAAGGTCATTTCAACCGACCAGTACTTGAAAAAAAATTTTTCGGAACAAATTATTTTTGGCGACCTCCCCACCCCCGTCGCCAAAAAAATTTCGGCCAGTGTACCATTTTAGGAGTACAAAAAATTTTCCGGACATATCAAAATTTTTCGGAACATTAAACAAATTTTCCAGACATCACAAATTTTCTCTCCATTTATCAAAAAAAAATTTCTAAAATTCCGAAAATTTCTGGAATATTAGAATTTTTTGTAAATATACCTATTTTTTTCTACTGCCCTGTAACCGACTGACGAACAGGGCCGCCGAGAGGTTGACGGGAGTCCGGGCGAGAAAAAAATTTTTCGGAGACCAACAACCTCTATCTTGCCCTTTGCGCGAAAATATTTAACCCAAATAGCAGTCCTACCGACTGAATAGCAGTCCTGCCGACTGAATACAATTTCTGGGGCGGGGGGTGTCAGCCCCCCCCCCCACATCTCCGGCCCTGGATATGTCCGAAAAGACACAGAAGATGCCGAAAAATATTCGAAACACAAATAAATTGTGAATTTTAAAGCATTTAGAAGTGTCATCTCGTCGATGTTTCAACCCTATCTTTTAATTCTCCCTTCTCCGGTGTCGGTTATATCCCACGTATGACACGTCAGATGTTATGTATAATCCATATTATGCATGGTAGCGTGGGAATTCGAATACATGCCCCCTCCAGGGATTTTTTCGGCTCCCTTTGCCAACAAATCCTGGCCATGTCCATCAGGCGTACGAGGCGGGGGCAAAGTCGGGCAATTTTTAGTTCACCATCCTCAAGCAGAGCGTGTTCGGGAGGGAAGCGGAAGTAGAGAACCTTTCCTAGTTCCCTCTAAAGTGGTGGTTATCTAGGAGGATGAGGACGCGGATACGGACGGACAGGTGGACGGACAAAACGGATAAAATGCAGATGCGGACAAAAAGGATAAAATTCGGATGCGGACAAAAAGGATAAAATGCGGTTGCGGACAAAAAGGATAAAATGCGGATCTGTTTCATTGCCCTAACATAATTCATTATTCCGGAGACAAAATTCATAGACTACGTATACTAACCAGTAAATTCCAGCTGGAGTTTCAGCCGCTTGTCGAAAATGCATTATGATTTCATTTTAATGAGTATATGCAAGGTCATAGAGAATTATGTTGCGGGGTTTTTTATATAAAATATTATATTCGTGGGCGTAATATGAGCAGTTTAAATATCCCTTTCCTAGCTTTGCTTTTCGCCGGTGTATAAAATAGCCATGCTGGATTAGTACCCTCTCCTTGAGTTTAGTATGATCTGGCTCTGTTTTATAATTCTGTTTTTAAAGAGCAGATGTGCTTTTCGTTGATTAAAAGCATGTTGTTACAAAATGGTTGCTGTTTTAATACATAATTCCACTTCTTGTCCAAGAAAGTATAAAATAAATTAGCAACAAATTGTTGCCAACAAAATTCACTATAATCTGTATAACATGGAGTATATAAATGTGTGATATGATTTGTTTTCGTGTTTTCGACTAATTTAAACAGGTATCCCTATTTTATATGAAGCCTTGTTTCATTTCAGATTTGATATGAAATAAAATCTAATGGCCCGTGATGTTCATCCCTAATCACTATACATTTTTAAGTTGTCAACTGTTAAAAGTACCCCCAGGCTCTGCTCTCAGTGTACATTAGGATACATTAAAAGCTTTAGAAAAACAAAACCATGGCTACTATCAATAGTGACACTCGTTATCACTTTCAAAATGTTTGATAAAAATTGGCGAGAACACAGGGCAGTCTCATTTCAGGACGTAATCACTGCAGAAACCGCACGTGTTCGGTAAACGGTAATGTTTTTAAGTTATTCTGCGCGTTAGTAATGTAAGAAATATTTCTTGTCAAGGAAAACTTTTACTTTGTCGTCTGTACGGGGCTTTAGTCATCCAACAGCTAAAAAATCTGCTTAGCAGTCAGTAACAATTGACTCTATATTGTATTTTGCCATCCTTCTAGTTCTAGCATGCAGTCCTAAATTTACAGCTCTAATATATGCTACTAAATTATATGCTATGCATATACTTCTAAATTATACAATAGATACGTACATACTTCTTTCCGTTGATCTAAATAAGAGGCAGTCTCAAAATGTCGACAGTAATCCCTTTTCCGCCATACAAGTGGAGTTGTGACAAAATGCACTGTAAATTTTAAGGAGTTGAATCAACTTTAAAAGTGTCATTCTGTCACCGTTTTTCGTGACAGAATAACTCTTATGGACTTGATTCAACTCCTTGTAATTTACAGTGTGACAAATAATTTATTTAAAGTGACTTGATACAGTTTTCAAAAACTTCAGGTGAATAACAGTTTGACTGTTATATAACGTTATATTTTTAGATTTTATGCAGCATATACGATTGTATTTGAAAGTCCATCTATACTAATGTTTCTTCCTTCAAATTGTATCAGTTTTGTTAAGGTTTTGGTAACACATAGTTCGTTCCTATGACAACACACGCGTACGAAATTCACTCTAAAATAGCCTATTGCTTTGACTTTGTGTAGTTGGAAAAGAAGCACGGTGAACCCCAAGCATTGCAGAATTTTTATTTTTGGCATATTGAAATACTTTTGCAGTACAATGCAGCATACAAAATTTCAACATAGGTCACCGAACAAAATAATGAGACAATTAGCGCACTGTTTTAAAATAATCGGCATTCCTAATGACGTCAGCATTTGGCATACAGCGTGGTGAGCCAGTCAGGTCATATATGTCGAGGACTAGCGTTTCTTTTGTTAATCTAGATTTGGAGTTTTGGATTCATTAAACAAATGGAACGAATTGTGAGAATCACCTTTCACCTGCTGTTTTCCGGCAATTTTTACAATAAGTTCTCTGTCCCACTATATCTTGCGGTCGAGTCAAGGTACATGCTAGAAGGCCAGAAGCTCAAAAGATCGAATCCGAAGAATCCATATGTTGAGATAGATTCATCAGATTCGAATCTATTTCAAGATTTTGTTAAATGAAACTGAAAATCGATAATCGGATTTGAAGATCCAAATCCAGATTGCACTAAAGGAACGCCCCCGCCGGCATAACGTTTTGTTTCGCGATTCTTGTATAAGTGATTTTGTCTGGATATGGAGCCACCGTAATACTAAAGAGGCCCCGTTATGGTAAATATATGGCTTGTTTGTCACTCCACTTATTCATGACTTATTCACACGTCATTCGTGTATTATTCCTCATAGAAAGGGTTAACGTTAGTTTTGTAGAGAATTTTAGCCTGCATGAGATTTAGTTAGAAACTTTATCTCGTTCTTTGTTTACTGCTAAAGCCAAGGCTAACATAGCATTTGAGCGGAAACGAGAACAACTACGACTTTCTCGCACGCGGTCAAATATTATACATTTAGTCACTGCTAAAGCTCCCTATAACTCTATTGTAGTCATTACGTGCCTTTTGATTGGCCAATAACTTACAACTAAATATATATTAAATAAACCTACACATAACACGGGTAGCCTCGCAGTAGCTCGGAAGAGTGATTTTCATTGGCTCGATTTGACAATTGCTTTTGTGTTTACAACAATGAATTGCTTCGTTCTTTAGAAAACCCCCATCCAATTGGAGACGACCTTCCGAGGCACTGCGAGGCTTCCCCATAACACAGTTATCTACCACTAGCAGATAACTGAATTATGTGTAGGTTGAGAACTATGGGTGTGATTTTTTAGCAAGCGGTAGTTTAAATACACAAAGATCAGTGGTGTCAAGTATCGAAGTAAATGTACTTCGTTACTGTACTTGGATCTACTTGAGTACTATTTTTAAGAAGTGAGCATGTAACAAAGTAAACTTTTTCTGGAGTACTTTTACTTGGAACGAAGTCGTTTTAAGAAGTAACTTTTTACTTTGTTATTTTCATTTTGTGGCAAAGTATTTCGTTACTTTCTAACTTTTGTTTAAGTTTACGTGGTTTATTCCTGATTTATTTTAATTTTGGGATAGGTAATTGGACCTCTACATGCGTCTGGGATCTCTCGGTTGTGGCTTACTTTAATATAAGCATTATTTATTTAATGGATTTCTTTAACTTCAACGAGGTCTGTAAAGTAGAACATGACGTGAAATATTGTACATTAGGTGCACACATATACAGCTAATGGATGAGTTGCCAGATCGCAGGCTCCCTTTATTTTGCGCGGCCAATTGATTCCATAATACATTGCATTAAGTGCAAATGCAATGTATTGTGGGATCGCCAGGTGGCAATTGCAATGTATTATGGGATCGCCAGGGGCCAATTGGCCGCGCAAAACAAAGGGGGCCTGCAATCCTTTGCAAACCTTTTAAAAACTCTAAACTTTAAACTCTAAGCGCGCAAAGCTTAATGGGAGCAAAGCAAAAGTTTCAAGCTTACTAGTTGAATATTGCAGCTATTTATGAATGACTTGTTCTCGTAAGGAGATATTTTACCATGTCTCTAAAAAATGGGCCCCATATATGATTTCTAAACTGATTAAATGATGCTTCTATTATGCTTTGCACGCCAGTGCAAAGGACAACCTTTTTTGAAGTGTGTCAATCCATTGGAGAAGTCCCCTTCCCCCGACACGCTACAGACAATAGTACCTTTTACTTTTTACTTCAAGTATTTCTTTAAGGATACTTTGTACTTTTTACTTAAGTACGTTTTGCCTCCAGTACTTTTACTCTTAAAGACCATGTAAAGTCCGTAATGTAAACAAACGCTTTGTTTACATTTTGAACTCAGTGCTACAGTTGTCAAATATGGTTAGATATATATTATACTGAATTTTTAACACTCTCCTGGTTCGCTATATGCTTGCAAATGAATACAGACTAGAGATTTAATTCAAGAAAGTTCAAAAGATACGAAATATTAATAACATTCCAACGGTCGGGTCCCGACCATTGGAATGTAAGCCTGCGCAGAACGGACTTTACATGCAGGTCTTTAAAGAAGTCGTTTTATTGTTAATTACTTCTACTTTCACTCGAGTACAATTCAAAGTAATTTAGGCTCCACTGACAAAGATAAGAAAAAACAACATGCAAACTTTAGTACCTAGACTGATAACGCTAATTATACATCAGTTTGTTGTCTCGTCTTCCTTTCGGACCCCGACTGTCCCTCATGATCATCGCCACTTGTTGTGTCACTTTCCAGTCTGATAATTTCACCGGAGAAATTATCAGATGGCGATGAAATTTCCAGGATGTTTAGGAATGGAGTGCTTCCTGGTTCCGAAGCTGTATCAGCCCATCTTACATGAGGTCCTCGGACGACATTGGGTCTTGAACTTGGTATTAAACTATCCCGCTCAGGGCTTGCATTATAGCCTGGAATACCAACATCAGCACTGGCATAATGACCAACACCACTAACTTGACTGTCGTCATCGTAAGATTGATCAGTAATGTCAGTGCTTTGACTGCTAGTACTAACGCCATCTTCGCAAACAAAATCTGGACGATTGCCTGCAACTTCCTTCCGATCTTTCCTTTTGCTTTCATGGCTGCTAACATCCGACTCAGAGCTGCCCCCGTGGCTACTTCCGGATGAACAGAGGAAAAGTGTTTTAGGTGGTTGAAGTCGTCTGTGAGACTTCTTGGTTTGATTTGGCTTGATTCTGGCTTCGCTTGATTCTTCATTTGGCGATAGTCTTTGGTCAGCATTGTGTGAAATTGAAACAACACTTGTTTGACTAGAACTGTACACATTCTCATCGCATGTAGTGTTCCCGTCTGTGCTACTTGTGGATAAAAAGCTGCTCCTATCGTAACGTGCATTCAGGCGCTCAGAATTAATCGTAGCCTGGTCTACCATCACAAGATTTGGAGACTGGATGGGAGTGTCCACGATTACTTCATCTGACATGTATAGATCCAACGAACTATGACGCGTTTCATCATTCTCGCATTCGAACTGGGAGAGCACTGGCGAGCATGCTGGATTCATAATGCCTTTGCTAGATTGGGTATCCATAGCCCTATCTACACAATTAGCCATATTTTGAACTCGATCACTCTCACTATCAGCCACAAGCAAATGTTCAACCGATTCTCTCTGTTCTGTCGTTCTCGTAACAAGCGCTTTTCCATTCATGGTAAAATTCAACTTTCCGTTCTTTATTGCTTCCTTCATTAAATTCAAGATGACATCAAGTTGCCTTTGTATCTTATGATTGTCTGCGCTAGCTTCCTCATTCCTACCATCCGATATCGATGAACTCGTAGAGGAAATATTTTGAGTATTTCTGTGTAGTTCAATATTTTGCTTACTGACGTCCACTAGCTTTGGCTCATGAGAACTTTGTTTTGCATCACACTGCATTTTTGCACTTAATAATTCTTCGCTTTTTAATGCTACATCATTTAGACTTGGGCACGGACTGTTTCCCTGATCTAAAATAATATTCAAGTTGATTGAACCAGGCTTTGTTAAGATGGCACTATGCTCTTGTCCTCTTGAAACTAGAATGTCGTTCAATTTTTTAACGTCTGCTAATAACTTATCCATATCTGATATTTCAGTACCGACTTTCGGCCCGAAACGGTCATTCATGACGTCGTTAATTTCTTCGACACTCTGCAGTAGTTTTTCTTTAGTTCGTTTCTTATCTCGTCTCCCCAAGCACACGTCCTCGGAAAGGCTACAAACCTCCGGGCTACACTCCTTCATTATGTGTTCACAATACTGACGCCAAACTGTACACGACAGTTTTTGTTCTAAGTACAAGATAGCTTTTGCTCTTTGCATCGTTGCTGTTTCCAACGAGTTTTCGTACATCCTTGGTGTAATAATAAAAAACTATATTTTAAGAGAGTATACCTTCCTGGTTGTATCTCTGCTGATCAGTGCTGATGATTCAAACAAGAGTGATTGTAATCTTGGACATAACCCTTGAAACTATTCTAGCAAATATTGCACACTCAATGTGCATTGACAAAACAAGTCTCGTCACCCTCTCTCCCTCACTACAATGTTGTGAACAGCGCCAAAATAATTTCTATGTAATTTACCATGACACAAGGCGCTATAAGTTCAACATTGAATTGGGGGAGAGTTAAGAAGCACAATGTAATACTGATTTTACATGGAATTTATCATAAGGAGTGTGCACATTTTCTATAGAAAGAAAGGTAATATCAACCAAATGAATTATGTCCAAGACTGTAATTTGTATATTAGTCGGTTCATTAAACATCAAACTACAATGAAGGACGAACAACAAACAAGGGCAGATGACAAATGAAAAATAAAAATTAAACAACAAACAATAGACAAAAAACAACAAAACAAGCAACAAACATCTTAGGGAAGCCTCACATATCGATTTTGTCTAGGAGAAACGTCATATGGACATGGGGGAGGGGGGTTGCAGCTGTGACATTTCTCCGTAAAACATCAAGAAAGGATCCGATTTACGAAGGATAATTTTTCGGAATCATGATCTTTGCAGAATATAAAAAGAAAACAACGAAATTTTTAAGTTCATATACAGGGTATATCAGAAAGAAGTATACAGTTGGAAAAAGTTCACTAAAGTCAGATGCGCGCGACATTTGCGAAAACTTTCAGTAAGCCTATTATGTACCTTAACGTTCTCTGGTACATCTAGTCTAGCACTAAAATTAGAGTATAGGAAATCTGTTACTAAAAACCCTCCAAAAAGACCTTGCGCACAAACATTTTTCATCGGAAACAAAATTTAATCACACAGAGTCAAAATATAGACTTTTTTGCACAAGCTATCAAACTTGGTGCATGCACGTATATAGTCCAACGCGAGATCTTCAAAACCTGGATTTTCTCCCATTTTGTTAGTTCAAACGCGATTTCATTGCATGATTTCAAATTAATTTTATGCTTAATTTTGTACGCATCTGACTTTAGTGAAATTATGTATACTTTTTCTGATACACCCTGTATTAATAAAAAACATATGTCAGCAGAAGATGACATATTTCTCGCGGAAGTATCGCCAATAGCCGACCGTAGAAAATAGTAGAAAATTACCTTATTGTGTATGTAACCATGTGTGACTTTTCTAAGAGGGGGGTGTCTCCAGAGAAACGTCCATATGACGTTTCTCATGGACAAAATCGATATGTGAGGCTTCCCTAACAACGTTAACAAGCCGATGTCTTCAAGCTCTATTCCGCAAGCATGATTTACACAGCAAAATGTTTTTTCTCAAAGTTACCCGTACCTTGTAAAAGTGTCGGCTAGCATCGCTATCAGGAGATTCAGAATTATTACCGTGGAAACAGCAACGAAGGTTCCTACCAGTATTCGAGCCATGTTTTGGTCAATGTTCACCAATTCATCAACCCTCGACAAATTACTGAAGGCCGCCATACTGAACACGGCGAAGATTAGCCCTGGGATGTCGGACAAAAATGGCGCGTAGTTTTCATTTGTCGGACCGAAAATCATCCAAAATATCGAAGCGTAGGGAATGAATACAAGCAAAAACAACAGGGACCATTTTAGGAAGTCTTTCAACATCGGTGCAATGGAAGCAACGAACGGACCTGGACCTTAAACAATAAATCAATATTTTTTTAAAGAAAGTTTACAAAAAAAATTATATCGAGACTTAAAATGGAAAAAAAAATGTAAAGGAGATTATAGACTTTTGAAAAACCCATTCCATTGTTTTTTTTTTTACGAAAATCAATAGTTCTGAACAGAACATATACAGAAATGTCGTTCAAAAATAAATTCTCAAAATGAAACACAAAAGATTAAGACACTAAGACAAACTCAATAGGTATATGTTTTAAATATTTCAACTGCTTCATCTGTTTGATAATGTAAATGGAGTCCTGTATTGTAATCATTTTTAAACTTACACAATTACTTTTCATATTTTTACGTTGCTTGAGCCTTGAGGCAACGCTTTTTAAACCACAATTTCGACGATTATTTAGGCGATTTATATGCATCGACAATAAAATATTTTTTTTCTTTTAAAAACATGGGAACACTTTATTTAGTTTGAAGAAGAACGAAACCCGACGAAGAATGAACTATGGATCATTTTATAATTTAATTTAATGAGATATTAGCAAAACAGTGATGCTCAGAGCATGCAAAAACGTTTTAAGACTAAGACATACGCCTGTGTTCCAAAAGCTCACTCACACTCACATTCAAAGAGTGGTGGTTCAATCTGAGCTTCCCTTTAGAGTCTGTGCAGTTTTTGAATAGTTGGAGGGTTAGTGTCGTACCTTATTATATGACCACTCACCCTCCACCTACTCAAACACTGCATTGACACCCAAGAGAAGTCTTGATTGAACCTCCCCTGTGACAGGGATACAGGCATTAGCTTTGTTCACTTTGCAATAGACCATATGCATAATGCCCGCGAGGAATGCTGGTCTTAGTAGTCATCGCCCGGGAAAATTTCGATAGTGGCCATTTTGAATTTAATTTACCCAGACGATGACTACTAAGACCAGCATTCCTCTCCGGCACCAAGCCCTGTGACGTCAATACGTCATTACTCACAAGGTCTACTCTCACCAATGATTCTCACTCTTAGTCAAATTCAATATGGCGGATTTGTAAGGGCAGGCCATATAGGTCTCACGAAAAGGTCTTTTATTTCTTAAAATATCCAGTGAAATCCAATTTAAAATGAAATGCTTATATTCTCCCTTGATTAACCTTGCTAAACTGACATCTATAATTCGTATTGCATGAAGTACATCTTACACAGCCATAGGTGTACGGGGCGGCGAAGTCGGGCAAATTATAATAAACGCAGAGTAATTAACGTAAGTCGGGCAAAAATTTGGGTAAAAACGTAAAAAGAAATCACAAGAATTATGTAAAAGTAACGGTCGAGTAAATTTTTTTTGGAAAGTTTACACGGAAAAAATTTTCTCGTACATAAATATCGAAATTTATTAAAAACACTAGTTATGATCAGACATAACATTAACACTTCTACATTGTATTTTTTTGTTCTTTCACCACACTAAAACGAGTGAATTTTGCGAAATTTTATCAAATTTTTTACTCAGCCCAGTTAATTTTTTAAAACTATGCGGGATGACAGGTACCATTCCGACCTCACAAAATACAGCTCGTTCATTGGCTAAGATTTCAGTTAGCTTCAGCCAGCTAGTCAAAGAGCTTTATCATGTGACGTCGGGACGGCAACCGTCAACCCGCATATATTTTTCTTGCCAACCAGGGATTATTCTAAGGTGCAGTGATAATCACTTTGTTCAGTGATAAAATGAGATTTGTGCAGTGATAAATTACATTATGTGCAGTGATAAAATGCGATATTGTTCAGTACCAGAAATTGGCGACAAAATGGCCACTGCATGCTTGTATACTAATTTGCATATAATCCGCATACAATGGCTTTCAGTTTTTACTGGGAATATATAGAGTGAAAATATTTAACTCAAAATCATTGCAATCTGAGAGCTTATCTATACTGTTTGCCGACCTCCTGATCAATTTTAATTGATTGCTGCCGAGCGTAGCGAGGCAGCACACTAATCTCTACACGTGGTGTGCTTACCACGTGACCGCCGAGTTTATAGCCGCTACAATCTCGATTTATGTCATTTTGTCATCCACGGACGGGCCAAAACTAGTATAGCTGTTTTGATATTATTTTTTTGTTCCCGGGGGGTTTGTTCACAACATGGCGACTGTTATAAACGGACAGAAATATAAAAATCATAAAATAATGCGAATTTCCATAAAAATTCCGAGTAATACTTGTGAAGATGAATGGGTAAATAAAGCACGGTGTTATTTTGTGTCTCTGGCGCAAGAATGATCGACAATATTTTGAATAATTCAGGTAAGGATGGCTTTATTTCGTTCTCGTATAGTGATGTAGTCGTGCCGTGTGCCCTGTCTACCTGTCTGGTGATATATTTTATAATACGTGAAGGCATTTATATTTAAATCTGCTGTTTATACTTGTTTAGTCACTTTAGTGTATTAAACTTCGATATAGAGGCATTGAAACAATATGATTTCAAGAATATATTGGCAATTATAATACCCACTGAATCACTGATCTATTCCTGACCAAATCGACAGTAATGATTAATGCCTTTATGCTGATACAAGAAGCAAATGAACTTTTAGTTTATTTGTTTGTTATGTCACTTAATATGTGCAAAGCCAAAGGCGGTGAGTATATAATAGTGTTCGGTACGTTCTATTTCTAAATGTTTATAGTTTAAAAACAAACGCGGGATGTTGTTAAATCAGGCTTATTAAACAAGATTCCTAGAGCTACCCAGTGTGGATTGTTGTCTGCATATATGGACTTATCAGCAATTACATGTAATATTATACCTCACAATGAGCTTGTCCAATCAGAGAACTAAATTTGTACCACATGATCATGGTATTTTTCAGCGAATACTATGACCTAGGCAATTTGAACCCTGGGTGTTTTACCCGGGGCCATGGTATTCGACTTCGAATACCCCGCTTGAGCGGGAAATTCGACTTTTTTAAATGTAAAGTTATCAAAAGTTGTGTTTTGAAATTAAAAGTTAATTGAATGGTATTTGTTTTCTACTTATTTTTGAAAGGTTCGGTATAATATACCATTTATAGACCTTTCACTCGGGGTATTCCACGCCCGAGGAATATTTCATCCCGCAGGGTAATTTTTTGTGGAATACCCCTCGTTTCAGGTCTATAACTGATAAATATAGCATATCAACTGACTTTTGTATAAGATATGACTTGTATAAGACTGCCTCAGTTATATATAAAGCCTATAAACATGATTCTACTGACATACATTGATATATACGTATGGCTGTGTTACCACAATAATGCTCACAACTTCAACTTCTTTCTAACAATATAGTTTTGCAGTTCTGACTGTTCTGAGTATGATCTTATTCATTCAGAAATATAAGCATTGCACTGTATTCAATGGCAAGCTATCCTGGATTCCAGAGCTTTCAGTTAATAATAAATTGAAATATCGTGAAGGCTCTGGTTCAACGGGAGGATTCTTTGATTAAACTGTGCCAATCACAAAACAGAATTAGCAGTTTTAGTACAGATTTTGGGCGTGTTAACCCATTAAGCGCCAGCGCTCTCCCCTTGACAAGTAAAATCGTCTGGCGTTAGACAGAGTAAAATACTGTTCAAAGTAGGGTGCATCAGGGTGCAATGCGACCCAATGGGTTAACTAGACACATGGGCAGATAGATCAGTTAACCATTAAGCGCCAGCACTCTCCCCTTGACGAGTAAAATCGTCTGGCGTTAGACAGAGTAAAATACTGTTCAAAGTAGGGTGCATCAGGGTGCAATGCGACCCAATGGGTTAACTAGACACATGGGCAGATAGATCAGTTAACCCATTAAGCGCCAGCACTCTCCCCTTGACGAGTAATATCGTCTGGCATTAGACAGAGTAAAATACTGTTCAAAGTAGGGTGCATCAGGGTGCAATGCGACTCAATGGGTTAATATAGTACATAACATAGGTCATAGACATACAGTTTCAATACAATACAAAATGGTTTTGAACAACGTCAAGGTCAATGAAATCATACAAAATGAATTTATGGAATATCAATTAAATGTATTTAAAACAAACATAATTTCAACATCCCAATAAGCAATAACATCCCAGTAAGTATAAATTCAACTATTTTAAATCAATTGTTTGAATAGCCAAATTAAAAGTTGTACGAGTGACAAAATCATTCAATAATATTCACATTTTATCATTTTTATTATGTGTCAACTATCAAAGTCGCACTGTTAAGTATATTAAAATATACTTTTCATAAGATTAGATGTAAGATATAATTGTACGAAGGTAACTGAGGAACGACGATGTCTAAGACAATAAATCATACATACAGTGAAAAACGCTCTTTTTGTAGCACATCCTACATGTACATATCGGCAGCATTTTCCTTGCGATAGTAACTCCTAGTTTTAATTTTAATTTTAATGCTTAAAAGCATTCATATACTAATGTTTCGGAGGCATTTTTATTCCGATCGGGTATCTCTCCTAGCGGCCAAGTCGTGTTCAAGAAAATCATTTTTATGTCATCTTCGTATGGTTAAACTGCTGCCGAGCGATTTTGTTTTGAGATTTTTGACGCCGTTTAAATAGTGTAGAGTAATCTATATCACGAGTGTAAAAAACATCGCTTGGTGTTTTGCATGCGATTCAAAAAATATTTGAAAATGTGTATATTTTTGCATGTAATAGAATATGCAGCATGCAGATTTGGGCTCATTACTCATTAGCTCATTTGCCTGAATATACTAGTGACATGCATGCGGCAAACTTTAAGTTGCAGAACCAGAGTGCTGTATATACATGCACTTATGCAGGATGCAGGGCAGTCAGAACGTTTTCTAAAATGTCGCTAAATTTTCTAAAAATTTATATAAATTTGATCATTTTTCGCACTTTTGTGCAGTGATAAAATTTCCTTAGAATAATCCTTGTTGCCAACCTTGGCGAAATAATATACAAATGATGCAACGCTACCTTTTCGAGAGACCTACGGGCAGGCATGAGAAAAAGTGGAGACACGAATCCTATACTATTATTTCAGCCGTTCCGCACGTTGTAAACAATAATTTATTGGCGTTGTAATGTCATTGTATGCAGTAAAGTATTGGGTTATAATGGGTCTACGTTTAATCCAAACGTTAATCCTAATCCAAACCCTAATCCTAACCTTAACCCTTAACCTCTAACCCCTAACTCCTAACCTCTAACCCCCACCTCCTAACCCCCACCTCCTAACCCCCACCTCCTAACCCCCACCTCCTAACCCCCACCTCCTAACCTCCTAACCCCCACCCACCTACCGCCTCCCCACCATCAACCAAGCTAAGCCAATTACATTTATAACTAAAACTTTTGTCTAATGCTTGTAGTTTTGTCTTCAGTTATAACCCAATACTTTATTGCATACAATGGCATTACAACGCCAATAAATTATTGGTTACAACGTGCGGAACGGGTGATTATTTCTATGGCTATAACTATCTATACAGTCCAGTTGTCAAGCTTTAACCAAGTTCAGTTATATATACTACGGGGTGAGAGGGAGGTTTTCCCAAGATGGTGGTTTAAAATTTCAACTCAGAGTTTGGTTTAGTTTAATTAACGATAATGTTGGCTAGGGTTAGGAGTGTGGTTAGGTTTGGGGCGTAAGGTTTGTGGGTCAGGTTACAGGTAGAGTCTAAGATTGTTATAAGTGCATTGTTGTTGATTCTTTCGTGTTTTAATCAACGTGCTTAAAAAGTAGCCGCCTTCTTGAAAACCTTTCTCCCGTCCATCCTCTTTAGCAACGACCACTTAATGAGTCATAAATTTTCTCAAGCTATTAACTATGACCTCATAAATGGCAATATCTATTTAACCCTTCCAATACCAAGAAAAAAATAGCCGGAATAAACTTAATAAACGTTTGAAACATAATCATTATAAATTTGTATAGGACTTAAAAGGACAGCCATGCGACATTAATTATGAATTTCAGAAATATATTTACATACCTTCAAAGGGACGAGTGAATTTCAACAACCTTACAAAGAGTACTATCAATACAAACGATACAATACGAACGTGGACATCGCGTGACAGCTTGGAACCAGTAACAAGGAAGGAAAGATGTGACGCAATGCTAGAGATTACCAACAGTAAAGCAATCCAATCTAAAAATATCCAGCTATCTTGCCTGGTAAAGTATCGTTCTTCGCGCGTGTCTTTGATCTCTTTGTCCAAGTACTCGTTTTCGTCCCGCCATTTTGGATGGCAAAATCGTTTATCATTCCACAAACTTTTTTCACGAAACGTCTTCCAACGTCTTATAGCCTTGTTTACGTAAATGAAACTGGTCACTTGTTTATACAACTCAAAGCCAGTTAACGACACAGCAGCTATAGCAAAGAGAAGACGCCACCACGTGTGCCTGCAATAAAAAAGTGAATTAAGGTAGCTCATAAAGCTGAGATGCAGTAGATGGGGCTGACGGGGGCTGAGAACCCTTGTTAAAATTCCATATCGATTTGGGGAGCTGAGCCCCTAATATTTTTGCAGATTGCGTGATCATAACCTGGAAAGTTCTTCGCAATTGCACTAGTGTGATATCGATAATGATTTTAGTAATTTGTACTTGATTACTATGTTCCAAACATTAGATAATTTATATCTGACTCTAGCATGAAACAGCTTCGGTTTATCACTTATCAGTATCTTTATTTCAAGCTTTGAAGGCCCACCTTTGATAATATCGCCCACCTTAACAAAAGTCGGCTTATCGCGGCCAAACATGAAAATGCCACACGTGTGGGTTCATAAGATAAAATACCGTATGCAAACAGAATTTGATCCGATTTATGTCGGAAGAAAGTATGTAATATTTATTATTTAATATGTAGAAATTGGTAAATCCATTCCTTTTTGTAAGGTGTATATAATATGTAGTGGCAACCCAGCCTAGTCCCAGGCTCTCTCTCTCTATTTACGCTGTTTCGATATATTTAAAAGTTTTATACGTTTTATGCCTGGGCGTGCTGTGCCGAACGCTTCAGCACGAGAGCCTAGCAGATTTCAGTAAAATGGTCCCGGATTCAGGGTTTATAGGTTTGCTGAATAATTAGGCCAAACACCGTCACACTAGGCCTTTGTTTTCTTTGTCTTGGCCTTTTTTTTTTGTTTTCTAAACGGCACTAATGACGATTTGGCCTAATTGACGATTCCCCTTATTACGTTTTCGTAGCGCTTTGCATTGTGGTTATAGTGGTATCACTGATAAAGATAACGGCCTCGTGTTCACTAGAACATAAAGCCATTGAACGTTGTCTACAAGCTTGAGAATTATGCTGATTCTCCGACTAAAACTGTTTGACAACACAGTCATGTTATGCAAGTAGAAAGCATAGTTGTGTATGGTCAAATGTAGATCACAACTTGCGAGTATATAAATAACATCAAGGATTATACGACAAAACTGTTTTGAACATTTTACCAATGGCGATGTTCAGTGTCAGTTCATATAATTTTTTTAATTGAGCACATTTTTGATACAGTTTAAAATTTGGTTTTGTAGACATCGAATATGATCAACGAACATTGTTGTATTTATAAGGTTAGTTGTATATACAAATTATCCGCCATATTGAAAATTATACTGAAATCTGCTAGGCGTTCGGAAGCACCTTTAGCTGTGATGTCACACCTAGGTCCCAGTCTCATACTACATTCTCGTTTTTTCTCGCACTTGCTTCAGAACGACTGGGACTAGGTTGGTGGCAACCCTAATGATGTAAAAATGTAGCCTTTAATGTAAATCCCAGGGATCTCTATAGTAACTCATTGTATAATGTCGGCCTTGTAGTCTATTGTTGGCGATCATAACGGGAACAGTGTATTTGGCTATTCTGAATAGATACACGCTCTGTAATTTAGAAACACTTCCAAAATCTAACTAAGACACAGATCACCACAATTTTGGTGTTTCAAATCCGAGGCACTTCTTTTCGTGTATGATATATGTTGCATAAAATTACATATACTGTACCTTAACGGCCAGTATAATTGATCAGCTTGTAACGGCATAGTGATACCAAGTATCGTCCACACAAAGGCGAAAACGACGTTCACGATTAAATCAATTTGAGCACCTTTCTTCCCAAAAAACTCCCATTTCACATTAATAAGTCTTTTCATAACTGGATGCATAACAATACTATATTGTTCGTATTGTATGGCGACCTCCAGAGGTGACCGGGCTCTGTTTGAACGTGGGTCCTCTTCCAAAATGCGCGGACCTTCGATATAATTGAGAAAATTATATTCCTTTCTGTTGATCATGTCTTGGGAACGAAATTGATCCAAAGCAATGGTGGCTACCTCAGGCATTTTGAGGATTAGAAGAGAAAGAGTCATCTCTCCGTTGTGATCGTATACACCTGTCGGTGTACCAAGTTCCACAAAGAATCGGGCCGCTTTTGTCCTGCTCATTGAAGCTGCAACCTATAAAAATCATATTAATACATATGGTTAATTAATGAATGGCCAGAAATCGTCTGTGAATTTTTTATGATCGATTTATTTTATGCCTCAATGGATTGGTTAAATAAATGAATTAACTACTTAATTAATGATTAGGTTAATAAAAAAATAGCTTTATTTTTGTGTATTACGACAACTTTCTTTGCTACTTTTCTTTCTCTTCTTTCGACCAAGAGTTCAATTTATTGACTGTAAAACCCAAATAGTAATGAGATATATGCAATTAGCTCAAAAATTTACCTAATAAATCAAAAGTAGACGGTGGCCAACTCGAAAGCTTATGCTACTTTGGACACCGTGCACAATTTCAATATCATAATTTAAAACTTTCTAATATATTCAGTATACCGAATATACATTATGCATGAGTATCTCTTCTAATGTAATATTTTCGCCAAATAGTGTGAAATAAATTGAACTTGAACTTGATCTTGCGTTGTAGCGAAAATTCATAATGAAAAAGTTAGCTATTAGGCTACGGTTTGAAAATTTTTAGCTAGTGGTTTTTTCTGTAGATATTTAATTTAGCAGAGTTCGATATGCATGCAACTCCAGTCTAATGTCTTCATTTAATAGGGACCGGATGATCCAATGTCACAAAGTCTCAAGGGACAGCCAAAGTGATTCAGTGTTAAAGTAAAAGTGGGACAACTATAATTGACGAGCAATCATTAATTAGCCATACAATGCTAGAAATGAAAATAAATTAACCTCTGGTTGAAAGCGGTTTAAACCGTAAGACCACCGATTGTAATTATCTCCTGGTTGAATGATTACAAAAAGTTCTCTCATTGGTTCAGTTCAAAACTGGTCACGTCCCAAGGTTTTCTTAATTGGTTGGTCGTTAATTGGATGTCGTTGCACGATAGCGAGGTTATTGCAGCTTTCAACCAGAGGTTTATTTTCCCGTCGCCCTTTCTAAAATAATTATGCAATGAAAATGAACCTCTGCAACCAAGGTAGCAAAGTGGTCGCTTCAAGCGGTTTTTCGTTGCAATCCTTCACCAAATAGAGCCATCCCCACTAAAAAAGTTACAGAACCGATGACAGAGGACGTGGCTGTATCCCCGTCGGAGTCCTTGAACGTTGAAGACACCGTTGAAGACAACGATTTGACACCTTCACACACGGGGTTGAAAGGTAAAAACCGAGCTGCACAATGGAGGCATTCTGAGACTTTTTAGCAGTTTTGAAAGCTCGTCGTGGAGTTCTAGCAATAGCAGCGACTCAGGTAAATCTGCTAGCAGTAAAGACAGCGACTACAAACGTCGCAAGAAGCGTAAGTCCTCACCAAAGCGAGAGGCAACGCCAACGCCTGCTACAACGGTAAATGCACAAGCAGCGCGAAAGAACACTTCAACGGACCTGGGCCCGAAGGTGATGTTTACGTGCGTTTTGACACGGATAGCACAGCCTGTGAGACACTGGTCTTACCAGAAGATATGGTGAAGTACTACTTGACAAATAAATGTTTATCCTATGTCACTGACAAGGATCTTTAGGAAGCAGTGCTTGATGCAAATCCCATACTGAATATTCGGTGCCTAAAAACTCCAAAGGTTGATGGTAATCTTGGGAAAATATTTGACATGCACTCTCGGCAGAGTGCAATCTTCCATTCCTAATGTTATGGAACCCGTATAGAAGCTATGGGAGTAGGGGAGGTCAGAACTCGCAAGAATCATCAGACTTCATTAAAACAAGCCTCATAGGACTTTGTTTGTCAAAGTTCTCCTCAAGACAACAAAGCTCAGGAAATCATCAAAAGAGATTTCTCACGGCCATTTACTGGTCCTCCTACTGGTCCTCCTCAAAGGTCCTCACAGACCATAAAACAATCGATTTCAAAAGAAGTTAATAATGCAGAACACGAAGATATGAATATTCGCCCCCTAATTATCGAGCTGGTGGCGCCACTGATTCAGAGCCCAACAGAAATCACCTGAATCAGACATGTCAACTCCCAGATCATGCTCTGGGCGCTCCACAGCAGATTGCCCAACTGAATATCCATCCCGCCTTAAAAATATAGAGCTAGATACGTCAATTTCAAAATGGTCTCTACCCCTAGCTGGGAGACTCCAGTATTTCCAAAAAATTGGGAGTGCCTAACTCAAGATCAATTCATTCTTCAGATAGTTTCCGGAGTCATAATACCATTTCGAGAAATAATACCATTTAATGAAACTGCCAGCTCCCCACACTCATACCCAGTTAGAAATGGTAAAAATCGATCAGGAAATTGTGGCAATGCTGCAAAAAGGAGCGCTTGCTTAAGGTGGTCTCCCCAAGGAATTTAAGATGAAAATCGACCTCAAGGATGTTTATTTTTCGGTACCCATGAGCAAACAGCATCAACGGTTCCTGATGTTCACTTGGAGTGGGGGACTGTATCAATTCACTTGCCTCCCCTTTGGTCTAGAACCAGTTCTTGACGCCAGTAGTGTCCCTCTTGCGTCTCTGAGGATGGCATACTATGTGGATGCCGTCGCATTCCATGGAGTATCTGGGATTTGTGATAAATTCTCTAAAAATGTGATAAGTTCTCGTTGGCAGAAGCAAAAATGAATAATTCTGTACAATATCGTCTCGAGATCTGATTCAACAACAAATGTCCTTTGTCAGGACAGTAGCCATAGTGATAGGGAAACTAACATCCTGAGTGCAGATAGTTCTCCCAGCACACAGCCACACTCTATCGATCTACAACGGTTGCAAATCAAAGGTCTGTTGTTGACGGGAAAATCCGAACAGACAATGCTCTCACTCGATCAGAACTGTCGGAACGACTTTCAATGGTGGATTCACCAGATCTCCAACTGGAATGATCGAGTCATAATTGCACCAGCCCCAGATCTGGTTATAACAACAGATGCACCAGTGACGGGCTGGGGGTGCAGTTTGTCAAGGGATTCGTACAACGGGACTATGGAGCCCGCAAGAGGTCACTTCTCTTCATATCAATGCCCTAGAATTAAAGGCCACCTTGTTTGCAGCGCGGAAGGCCTTGTGTTGATAGTTTATAAACATGGCAATATTTGCATAGCGGGACTAAATCGTCGGGCTGGCTACGCCACTGATGTTCTCCACAGCCAAATCTCTCTAAAAGGAAAGTATTTACCGGGGGAATCCAATCACGAAGTCGATTGAGAGTCGCGACATTATCAGGATTCGAGCGACTGGAAATTGAATCCCCATGTATTTTCAAACACTGAGTACCCAGTGGGGCCCCTATACAAATAGACTTGTTTGCCAACCGACTAACTGGAGAGTTATATGAGGTGGTTTCTAGACCCATTTGCCAAAGCAATAGATGCTTTCCAGATCCCTTGATTGGGTATGACAGGAGAGCAAACTGCTCAAAAGCACTCCTGGCGCAAAAGCACTACAACTGCTTACAATAGTCCCTGGCCGCAGTGGTGTAGCTGGTGTTCTGAAAGAGAAATCGATCTATTTTGCTCCACTGTGGCCACTGTAGCTGACTAGTTAACCACCATGTTTGGAAAAGGAACATGCTATCGCATAATTAACAATCATAGGTAAGGATTTCTGCCTATCATAAGCTTGTTGATGGACAGTAAGTAGGGCACAAGAATGAACACATAACGTAAGTATGCTATTGGCCCTTGCATCAACAGGTCGTTCATTTGAGTTACGAGCTCTCGATGTGAGACATATGACAATGACAATAACAATGACAACAACATTGTTTTTGAGCTTGGTCGACTGACTAAGTCCCGAAAGAAGGGAAAAGGGCCAATCAAGTTGAAATTTAGTCCCTTGCAGTCGGATCCTTTGTTATGTGTGGTGTCAACCATCACTCTTATATATATCGTACAAAAGGGTTGGCGCTCTGTATCAGGTCAGAGCCAATTGTTGTTGAGCTTTGTAGTTGAGCCCCACACGGAGGTGGTTCCCTGTACAACTGTACTAACTGTGGTCTGGTTATTACGAATAATTAACGAAGCGGATGTGGAAACCTCAGAATTTAATATGCTCACTCCACTAAGGGTGCCTCTATCTCTAACGCCAAGGCTAAATGTCTCTCATGTCAGGAAATCACGAATACGGCCAACTAGAAGAAATAATCCACTTTTGAAAAGACACTGCTTGGGAGAAATAATTTCTGAGCAAACAGCTAGGCAGGATGGGTTCCAGACAACAGTATTACAAACAGGTCGGAATGCTTTGAACATACGCTATTATATCTTATGGAGGTTCGTGAAATGAAATCGTAAATTTCATCAGTGTGCGGAGCGCGCGCACGCATTGATATTATAATTTCATGAGCAATTCGAAATAAGATATGATAGCGTCCCTTCCCATTATTCAATATCAGTTTTATTTCGGTTTACTCTTACTACTGTAGGTGCAAAAGGCAACTAAGAAGAGAAGTAACGATGTCCAGACTCTAGGGATATACGAACTGTGTTAATATTCATTTTTATACATATATTGTTTCGTATTCAAGACATTGATATTATTTTTGCGGTGTAATATTACAAGTTCATATTGTGACTCGTCTTGTTTTGCTCTCTAACTCCCATCCATTAATATTTTGGATAATGAAGAGGAAGTCTTGTTATGATTAAATTAAATGGTTTAAATTGACGGTTCCGACGGCGCGAAGCGCCGTGCGAGGGTACTAATCCCCCCCTCGGCTATTTACACCCGGGGAAACGAAAGCATTAGCGAAGTCTTTCAATGCGTGCGCTTCGCGCACTTGATAAAATTTCCAATTTTACTAGAGGCGAAACATACATATGTGTGATATTGTGCTGTTCTTGGTTGCCATGAATTTAGAAAATTCTAAACAACAATTAATAAGATAAATGATAAGAAAACGTAGATGATTTAGAAAACAAAGAATCCAAACCTGAATCGGCGTCCTATTCTGATAATCTCGACAATTGACATTAGCACCATAATTCATAAACAGCTTCAGTGCTTGGCAGGCATCGTTCTTCGCAGCAAAATGAATGGGTGTCTGTAGTTCACCAAATGTAGTGATGTCGATATCAGCATTGTTGTTAAGCAGGAACTCAATCATTTCAGTGTAGTCTACTGCTGCAGCAACATGAAGCGGGGCACGACCATATTTGTCTTGTTGGTTAATATTCGCCCCTGTGGATTTTAAATTAAAAAAATAGTTTAATTGCCTATGACACGAAATTTACTCCAAATGTTTATGATTGCATTGTAAAGATAACTTAAAATGACTTAATAATTTCTTTTATAGAATTGTCGTAACTTGCTTCCTTTGCAAGATATTCAACTTTGTTTCATATGCAAATATCACCGGTGTGACAATCACATCGCATAATGACATTTTGAAAACGCAATATTTTACCTTGACAAAATATATTTACAAACACATACAGAGGGTTAATTACCAGTTATGAAATTAGTACATATTATACAAGGGCAATTTTTAAGTTGTTTAGATACGTATTCGTCAAGAAAACTATACTTTTCTGAAAACTCATTATGTGATGTGATGTCACACCGGTGATATTTGCATATATGAAACAAAGTTGAATATCTTGAAAAGGGAGCAAGTTACCAAAATTCTATAAAATAAATTAATAAGTCATTTTAAGTGATCTTTACAATGCAACCATAAACCATTGGGGTGAAATTTCGTATCATAGGCACTTTTCGTATCATAGGCACACCAAATGTAGTGATGTCGATATCAGCATTGTTGTTAAGCAGGAACTCAATCATTTCAGTGTAGTCTACTGCTGCAGCAACATGAAGCGGGGCACGACCATATTTGTCTTGTTGGTTAATATTCGCCCCTGTGGATTTTAAATTAAAAAAATAATTTAATTGCCTATGACACGAAATTTACTCCAAATGTTTATGATTGCATTGTAAAGATAACTTAAAATGACTTAATAATTTCTTTTATAGAATTGTCGTAACTTGCTTCCTTTGCAAGATATTCAACTTTGTTTCATATGCAAATATCACCGGTGTGACAATCACATCGCATAATGACATTTTGAAAACGCAATATTTTACCTTGACAAAATATATTTACAAACACATACAGAGGGTTAATTACCAGTTATGAAATTAGTACATATTATACAAGGGCAATTTTTAAGTTGTTTAGATACGTATTCGTCAAGAAAACTATACTTTTCTGAAAACTCATTATGTGATGTGATGTCACACCGGTGATATTTGCATATATGAAACAAAGTTGAATATCTTGAAAAGGGAGCAAGTTACCAAAATTCTATAAAATAAATTAATAAGTCATTTTAAGTGATCTTTACAATGCAACCATAAACCATTGGGGTGAAATTTCGTATCATAGGCACTTTAAGTGAAATCATAGATGAATGGTAGAGCTGAAAGAGAAATATTTTAGGGTATGTTTAGGGTATATGCCTTACAACTCTGCGATCAGGATGCCATTTCAACAGTAATTATGCAGTTTTTCATTCTGTAGCTGCGGCCTGTGAAAGATATACAACTACCCGAAAACTATTTTGGCAAAACTTTGACGTTATTTTGCACAATAGGCACCAGAAATTGCACACAAAAACTGCCATGTCGCTGAGTATTCTTTGCATAGCATCGTGAGCTCAGGCAAAACTTTTTTCATTTTACTCTGATTTATTTGAATCAAAATACGGCTCAGATTGTGCGTTTATCATCTTAGGTGTGAAGGAAATATACACGGTACCTCTGTTTAGCAGAAAACGGGCAACATCAACATTCCATGATCGTGCCACTTCATGAAACATCGTCTGTCCATACTTGTCAGCGGTGTTAATGTCGGCACCATTCTCCAAGAGTGACTCGACAAAAGAAAAATCAAATTCGTCATCATCGTTGTTTGAGCTCGCCAGCCGCGCGATGTAATGAATAAGCGCCTGATTACGAATTTCTGTACTCGCTTCCATTCCCTTGGTTTGGTTCTCGCCTGCAGAAGTAGTGACGTCAATCACGGCATGCATTGCAACATTCGTACGATTGGCCGCTCCAGGAATCTCCTTCAACAGTTGCTCTTGATAATCCTTAAATTTTCTTCGCTTCTGTCGTTTGGACCTCAAAGCTCGCCAGTCCAAGACTATGTCTCTCAAGAAATCCTCACTCACTTTCTCTTTCTCCATGTTCGTATCAGACTTGCTGAGCTACAAGTAAAATTATTATTATTATACATTGTAGTTGGTAAAAGCAATTTGATTGGCTAAGAGCTTACAGTTAAATCGCGCAATCACGCAACCTACAGAAAATTCAGTTATCTGCTAGCAGATAACTGAGTTATCTGCAAATGAGCCTGCGATGATTAGCAAGCGGTATCTATTTAACACAAACAAATGTATAATAAAACAATTATTAATAGTTTTGTTTGTGGAAACAGACCGAAAGCTTTGCAGTAATAAATTTACGTGGTGTTTCCACAAACAAAACTATTATCGCCATGCAAACGTACAAAGAACTTAAAACAATTATTGAATTCAGTTTTTGCGATATGCAAAATTATCAAGGTCTCGGTACTCGCCTTCGGCTCGGCTGATAACGCTTACCTAACCTTGACAATTCCGCATATCACAAAAACCTAATCCAATAATTGTTAATTATTATCTTCATATTTATCCATGATACCCACATGTGTGGTCCTGCAACTCTAAATTACATTAACTCAATATTTAGCCATGTACTATTTACAGCAACACATGCATATATACAATGTAATTTTTGAAAAGTATTAAGCCTGATTTCCACTCCAACCGCATCGAAACGAAATACAACGGACTTCTTTGTTTCAAAAACATAAATTATATCTGAGTACTATATAAAGATAGAATTTAATGTATACAGCATGAGCAGCTGTGTTGTATCAGATATACGAATACAAGAGAATTGAAGAAAGCTTAGAAAATCGAAGAAAAGATTTATACAGATCAGGAGAATTTTGTTTATGTAGACACAACACCTCATTAAATATTGATCTCTTTTGAATTTTGGGAAAGACGCGGATTATTACTTAGAAGGAAGCTTAAAACCTTTTTGGAAACATATTTTCCAGCTAGGTTTTCAAGGTTGAGCTAATTAAACTACCGTAGAAAAAACAGATAGGCCTACTTGTTGTTTGGCAGGTCCAGACTCACGGGCTGAAAGCTAAAGTCAAGGACATTGGTGAGGCGGCGCGCGTGGGGATCCTTCCAAAAGTTTTAATAAACAGTTATTAGATGAAGTTGTTGTGATATCCAGAATTATGAAGGTCGACATAAGTGTTGAGTATCAGTCAAGCCGAAGACGAGACTGATAATACTTCCCGCCGAGACCTTAGACCGAGAAAAACGACTGTCAATAAATAATGATTTGTCGCACAAAACAACGTTTGGTTATAAAAAAAGTGAAAATGATGTAAACTACTATATTATTTATAATAACCGCACCTACTAAACTTCCGATAAAAGTGTCGAAAACGCCGTTCCGTTCCTATTGTTTTTTCTTGTTTCTATTCGTATAACGCTTGCTATAAAATTACATACCGCTGGTTCAACCCTTCAGATAACAGGGTTGAATTATTTGCTGTGATAAAAATACAGAAAACACTGTTATGTTTATGTTGGGTGATTTCCATAGTTGTAAACTTTTGGCCAAAAGTCACGTAGTGACTATACAATGTATAATAATAATACCAATAAGCCACAAATGTTCTGGGGGTTCGGGCACCTCCAGACTCCCTCCTATGAAGACACTCATATTGCAATTATGTAAGGAATAACGTTAAAAGTAACAGGTAAATCTATAACATTGAAGTTCCAATTGAAGTGAAATTGTTGGACTCCTCCACCCCACTCCAGAAACCTTGCAAACGTCTGAATATGAAACTGACGTCTTTAGCTATGTCCTGTGAAAATTTGAGAAAAATTCGTTAAAACACGCAGGAGCACAACTCGTTTAAAAATCAGTAATTGCCGTAAAATTCTTCGGGAGAAAATTGAATTTGAATATTACATTTTCAGTGTTTTTCTTATTGCAAGCGAAATGCATTTTATTAAATAACTCTGCGAGTTTTCAAAATTTTTCGTCCAAACTTGGTCAGATAGTAGAACTAGTCTAATGCTTTCATGCAAACCAATAAAAAAAATTTAGGCAAAATTAACACTCAAAAGAAAGTGCAACAATTCCCTTAAAATTTTGCTGCTTGGATACTCGATTTAGTACTTGTAGCCAACATAGTTTCAGCATTGATTGGAGCAATTTTATTCGTTGCATGACGCTAAACACTAAAATGCATTGTATATAACAACATGACATCTTGTCAATAATTTAGGACTGCTTTCTTTTCGACGGTTAAGTTTTTCATATGGTCAGGCATCGTGCAAAATAAGAGAATGCATGGGTTGCGAATTGTGGTTGAGACCAGTTGTCCCGTGAACTAATGAATGATTTTTCGGAAGCTTTTATCTTATCAAGATAGGGTTTAGTTAAATATGCATGACCCGGGAAACCGGCATGAATTTCTTAAAGGTTAGGTATCACGTATGATTTTTTCCTCATGGGACGATCGTATACGTGCATCATGTTCTGTGCGGAAAGCGCAGCATTTCCAACTTGATGCCTTGCCGAAAGTTATAATGCTCTGCAACGATCGGCCAAAAATATAATAAGTCTAAACAGTTTATATGACTTATATGATAGACTAAACTTTACTGATAAACTAATCTTAATCTTAAACTTTATATGATAGACTAATTTATGATAAATCTAAACTTTCTCCATCTCAACCACTTTTATTTCGAACAGTCAAACGTTATAAATCTTAAAATAATTTGGTTCCAGACTATTTAATTTTATTAAGTAATATGTTCAAACCATTGTCAACAGTTTCCCAGCGGCATAAAAGAAGCATTACCAATATGGACTTATGGGAAGCTACCAAACCATAAACTAACGAGCATCTATAGCTGGACTAGAGGATGTTTTTATAATATGTTGCCATCGGATATAAGATCTTCCAGCTTATTTCCAGTATTCAAGCGTAAAGCCCATGAACATGTTTTTAGATATACAGCTATTTCAATTAAGGTTGTCCCCCGAGCAATGTGTGAAAGTGGAAAGTCAAATACGAGCGCGAAAGGCTGCTGGGAACCGCTAATAAATGAATTAATTTATTAGCGATTCCCAGCAGCCTTTTGCGCTCGTGTTCGACTTTTCCGCTTTGCTCGGGGGACAACCTTAATTGAAATAGTTGTATGTATAGAAATGTAAATTGTATACTGCATGCAAATATATTTAATTATGTAGTTAGTTTTAGAAGGTACAGTGGAAGATTAGCGAAAGCTAAACTGGCACATTTCCTTGTAAATTATCCTTCTTTAATTAAATAAAGTTTTAATCATAATAATATAAAATTACGATTACTATAGTATTTAGTCAGCAGACAATGAAAATCGCTTTATTTGTGGAATGGATAGTGAAAAAATTATCTTTTTCATGGGGCTAATCCAATGTATTGCATGTTGGTATAAAATAGATAAATGGACAAGTAGTTACTCATGGTGCAAGACATTGTGTAGCCTGTTGAGAAAAACATATTTATTATTCTGTACTCGGCAATACTTGTGCATGGTGAATATAAAGAGACTATAGGGAAACTACAATTAGCAACTAAAATTAGGAGAAAGATTTATGACGATTTAAGAATGTAAGTGCGAGAGAATGAAATTGAGTTGGAAGGGCAACCCTGCATGTGCACTGCACATTTCGATCTAACAGTCTTCTTCAGCAGGGGTTGGATAAGGAGAGGTGTATAGGTTTGTGGTTAATGTATAGAAAGGAAGGAGAGTTTTGAAGATAGGACGAGAGGATAGAATCGTGAAAATTAACAAAATTATACAAGATATTCTAACAAAAACCTTGCTATGATGAGACATTCCAACACCATGCACGTACTTTGTGGTATACTTTGTTATAGTTTGTCGTTATTGTATTTCCTAATGGGTTACTGAAATATTAAACCACTCAAAATGTTTTTGCTAAGTGTTTTAAGGGCAGTTTTAACGGTATACAATTTCCTCCACAAATCCCGGTATTTTATGTAATTAGCCTCTTAAGAATTTTTAGCACTTGGGAGTTGTGAGAGGACGAAAAACTCTAGCGCTTGAGTGCTGGTAAACACGCTTATTTTCTTCCTGGTGAAATTATGTTTTCTCCTAACGGATAAGCAAAACCTCAAAATTCGTTTGATTCGCCTTGCTACGGTGAAAATTTAAGAGTATTTATTTCGAGTTTATCAGTTCAATACTTGCTGCATGTGCTTATACAGTTATGTTGTTATGAATTAATTGTGTTTTGGTCCTTGTTCACATGTTTAATTTCCTTGTTTGAATTTCAATTGTTTTGCACTAGTTTTAAAGATTTTTGCAACCTGAAGTACAATTTAATGAAGTCAGGTTCCAGTTCACGATTTGTCAGGATGGTTGTCAAAAGTCAAAAGTAAGTGGCTGGTGTTTTTAATCAAGAAATTATATTTTGTTGATTAAAAGAACGAAGACGAAGAAATTTTACTGCAAAGACGTCCTCACTCGTGTTATTGAGCAACCACTTCAGTCGTGTTCTTTATATGTCACAAAAAGTATTATAAATAGCTTAATTTTGTTGCCAAATTAAAAGAAAAATTTATCAGATTGTTTCACCATTATCTATATTAATTTCATATCCATAATTATATATGATATACATGAACAAATTGTTATGTTGCCTATATGAACAAATTGTTATGAGTACATTATATAAACATTTGATAGCTTGAGTCTCATAGACATAGTCCATAGAACACGATAAAATAGCGACATGCCTGATTGACTTTCCCTTGTATTAGATCTTTTTTCCTTATATGCAAAGGTCTGTTTTCAAAATATGACTATGAGGTCTGTTTTTCTTATATTAATGCCTGTTTTAATTATATAAGACATAATAGACGTATAAGTTATCTTCTCCTCTTAATTAAGAATTTCTACTGAATGCTAAACTTTAAATTATCCTATTATATTTATGACTATAAACCAACTTACCTTAGACTTATTAATCTTTACATAACAGTTTTTTCATTACGACTCAACTGATTTGTGTTGCCTCTAAATATTCTAAATACGATGACTCGGTTAAATTATACCCCAAACGTGAGATTGAAATCATCCTATTGAGTATTGTTTATATATGCCATTTAATTTCGCAAGAATTTTTCGCGGTCTATTATACATGGATAGCAATCTGCACCCAATGAATTGACAGATATGGTCTGATATCAGCGACACGTGCATACCCTATTTGGTTTTTGTCTATATTTGCGGTTTGCAAAATAATTTAATGATTTTTGCACACATGCATATGAACTTGGCAGCAATCTATTTGTCTTTGATGTAAATCCACCGCCTTAATCATGCATTTGTAATAGGTCACAGCAGGAGACTTGTGTAGAACGGTCCATGTTAATTATTTTAAGCGTTAGTCAGTATGAAGTAATCAATGGGGGAAATTACTAATTGATTTTACGAATCTTCGAGTTTGGAGATAGATTTCAATTATGGCCACAGGCACAGCATGCTGTTTATAACTGTTACTAAATATTGTCATTTCCAACAAAACGTCTGTCGTTAAAAACAAAGATACAAACTATTTGCTTAAAGGGAAGAATTTTAAATTTTTTAAAAACTTTCGTCAGTGAACCAATTTTGCCACATCAATATATTGTTGTTTTCTACATTTTGCAAGCTAAACCAGGGCGCTTATATAATCGTTGTGAGCCAAACCTTAAACACCGTTTAGAGAGTTTATTTAGCAACGACTATTTATATATATATATATATATATATATATATATATATATATATATATATATATATATATATATATATATATATATATATATATATATATATATACCAAATATTTATTTAGAATCATATATGAGTAGAGTGCTCGATATACCGAAGTATAGAGCTAATATAGACAAAGATAAAATAAACCTGGTTTACTTCATAAGATTTATTCACAATAAATAAATAAATAAATAAATCTTATGAAGTAAACCAGGTTTATTTTATCTTTATCTATATACATATATATATATATATATATATATATATATATATATATATATATATATATATATATATATATATATATATATATATATATATATATATATACATGAAATCCGGAAATAAACCGCTATATATCAACCACAACAGCAACCACCCGCCACCAATACTACGCAGCATACCAGATGCTGTCAATAAGAGGCTATCAAACCTATCCTCTGATAAGCAATCCTTCGAGTCGGCTGTGCCCCCATATCAGGAAGCCCTGCGAAAGAGCGGTTTTAACTATGCCCTCAATTACAATCCCCAGCCACCAAAACCTAAACGCAATAGAAACAGAAACGTGATATGGTTTAACCCTCCCTACAGCGCGAACGTTGCCACCGACATTGGTCACAAATTCCTGCAAGCTATTGATGAATGCTTCCCACCAAACCATCCTCTACATAAACTATTCAATAGGAACAACCTTAAGTTGAGCTACAGCTGTATGCCCAACGTGCACAATATCATCACGGCGCACAACAGAACAGTGCTCGATCGCAAGCAGCCCGAGGCTACTAAAAATCCCGATAGGAAGTGCAATTGCCGCCAGGAAGAATCCTGCCCCCTCCCTGGCAAATGTTTAACCGAAAGCGTTGTGTACCAGGCTACAGTAACGAGAGAAGACAACCAGCAGAAAGAAACCTACGTTGGACACACAGCGAGCCCATTTAAAGTGAGATACTATAACCACACAAGCTCGTTCAGGAACCCGGAACATAAACATTCAACCGAACTGAGTAAATATATTTGGCAGTTGAAACAATCCAACATACAATACTCTATCCGCTGGAAAATTTTAAAGAAATGTAAGGCCTACTCAAACAAAACAAAACGTTGTAAATTATGCCTGCATGAAAAGTTTGTTATAATTTTCTTTCCCAAATTAAGCTCTTTGAACACAAGAAACGAACTGATATCCGCATGTAGGCACAGGAAACAATTCCTGCTCTGCAGCCAATAGCTCAGGTTACAGACATTGGCTTATGCTTTCCAAATGACGTCAAACATTTTTTTATATAATAGCTCAAGTTACCTATAGGTTATAACATCATGTAAATACGCGATATCATCATTCACCTGATGAGTGTGGCAAGCTTAGTTTGCCATACGAAACAAATTTGTCGTGAATAAATGTTTTAAATGAAGTAACTCAAGTTTGTCTTTCATTTGCTCTACCTTCGTATCGAGCACTCTATTCGTATGATTCGACACTCAATATACTTATTGACATTCGCCTATATATATATATATATATATATATATATATTCGTCATTTGTGCGCGAAATCTATACGCTTACTGACGTGAAAAGACATAACTGTCGCCCATCTGAGTACAAAATTTGGTAAAATTTGCTTTTTTCCACGTATGTACTGTATTCATGACTTATTTGCACTTAATTCGTGCATTCACACTCTATAGGGGCTAATTTTGTAGGGATAGAAAATCATAAGGAGCTAGTTCAATTGTATAGGGAATTTCACCTTGCACGAGATTTAGTTGCAAAACTTTATTTCCCGTTGTTTATTTACTGCTAAACCAAAATTTGAACGAAACGAGAACGACTACGACTTCCTTGCACGCGGTCAAATATACGTAAAAATCTCACATCTTGTATTATAGCGAGTCTGCTAACAAGCCGTCCACAAGTTGTGTTCTCACTGCTTGTCCCAAGTTGTCAACAAGTTTGGAACAAGCTGCTAACAACTTGTAGCTAACAAGCTTAATTGATGGTATTATCAGACTTGTTGCAAGGTTGTTCCACCAAGTCCGACGCAGTCATGATATAACAATATTGTTACAACTTTGTGTTGTCAACCTTGTAACATTTCGAAACATTATATCATGACTGTATCAGACTTGTTAGAACAACCTTGTAACAAGTCTGATGATGCCATCAAGCTTGTTCCAAGTTGTTAACAGCTTGTTCCAAACTTGTTACAACAACTGGGAAGTTGAGTGTTGTATTTGGCAGAACATTTAGTAACCAGAGTCATGCATGATTGAATTTATATTTGTGAGCTAGCAATTAAATAAATAGAGGATACTACACGGCGGCACGAAGTTTTTGAATGATAATTCGCTGCTATCTAAACATCAATCTGGCTTTCGGCCTAAGCATTCAACTTTAACAACACTCATTCAAATGTGTGACACACTTTATGAGAACATGGATAATGGTCAGTTGAGTGGTGTTGTTTTCCTTGATATTAGAAAAGCTTTTGATTCTATTGATCATACAATCTTATTGCAAAAGATGAATGATCAATTTGGAATAAAAAATGTGGAACTGCATTGGTTTAAGTCCTATCTAACTAATAGAGAGCAAGCATGCATTGTCAACGGTGCAATGTCATCACCTAAAACGATTGTGTGCATGCGGAGTTCCGCAGGGATCAATTCTTGGTCCCTTGCTGTTTTTATTATATATTAATGATTTACCCGAATGCCTCGAAAAAACTTCGCCACACCTATACGCTGATGATACTCAAATTTCTACTTCTGCCAAAACTATTGAGGAACTTACTAAAAATCTAAATATGACCTGAAAAAAGTCGGTGAGTGGCTTGCTCGAAATAAACTGCAACACCACCCAACTAAGACCAAATTAATGTATATCGGTTCAAAGTATAATACTGATACTATGACTTATGATATTCCAGTAATGATGAATAACCAATTCATAACTCTTGCTCATTAATACACATGCCTTGGGGTTAAACTTGATGAAAACCTTAATTGGCATGAGCATGTTGAAATGATTTGTAAGAAAGTTGGGGCCGGCATAGGAGCAATGCAACGAATTAAGCCATATGTTCCTATAAATACCCTGCATACCATTTACAGAGCTTTGATAGAACCATATTTTGATTATTGTAGTCCATTATGGGACGTCTGTAACCAGCAGCTGAAAGATAAGCTTCAAAAGTTCCAAAACCGTGCAGCGAGAATTATAACCGGCGCCAGCTATGAAATAAGGTCTGCTGATGTTCTTCGATCCCTTGCTTGGGAAAATTTAGAGATAAGACAACGTACAACTAAATCCACATTAATGTATAAAGTCCTGAATGATTGCGCTGGGCCGAACTTGAAGGAAGCTCTAACGAGAAGGGACCTTGTTCAAACCAGTTATAATCTTCGCAATACTTATACTGACCTTACCCTTGCTAAGCCAAAACGAGAATTTCTAAAAAAAGCTTTAAGTATAGCGGAGCTAAATTGTGGAATAGTCTTCCTTCTGATGCGAAGCTAGCGCAATCAATTTATTCTTTTAAAAACTGCCTGAAAGATTCACGCTAACATCTTCTAATATATTGTATATGCATGCTTTAGAAATATGGGTCACACCGTTTGGAACTTAATTCTTGTATTGTAAATAGTTGTATATAATTCTTTATTCTTTTTTATACCATATTTGTAATTTTTAATAGTAACAGACGTCCCTCGTGAAAATCAACAAATCGTTGACGAGGCTAACGTCTTTAAATAAAGTTTACATACAATACATACATGAGGACAAGTGTCATGACTCCGAGGACAAGGTTCCTGACGCTGAGGACAAAGTTCGTGACGCGAGGACAAGGTTCCTGACGCTCAGGACAAGGTTCCTGACGGTGAGGACAAGGTACCTGACGCTGAGGACAAGGTTCTTCAAGGTGAAGACAAGGTTCCTGACGCGAGGACAAGGTACCTGACGCTGAGGATAAGGTTCTTGACGCTGAGGACAATGTTCCTAACGCTGAGGACAAGGATCCTGACGCTGAGAACAAGGTTCCTGACACTGATGACAAGGTTCCTGACGCTGAGGACAAGGTTCTTGACGCTGAGGACAAGGTTCCTGGCGCTGAGGACAAGGTTCCTGACGCTGAGGACAAGGTTCTTGCCGCTGAGGACAAGGTTTCTAACGCTGAGGAAAAGCATGTTGACGCTGAGGACAAGGCTCCTGACGCTGAGGAGAAGGTTCCTGACGCTGAGGACAAGGTTCTTGACGCTGAGGACAAGGTTCCTGACGCTGAGGACAAGGTTCCAGACGCTGAGGACAAGGTTCCTGACGGTGAGGAAAAGGTTCTTGACGCTGAGGACAAGGTTCCTGACGCTGAGGACAAGGTTCCTGACGCTGAGGACAAGGTTCTTGACGCTGAGGACAAGGTTCCTGACGCTGAGGACAAGGTTCCACACGCTGAGGACAAGGTTCCTGACGCTGAGGACAAGGTTCCTGACGCTGAGGACAAGGTCCTTGACGCTGAGGACAAGGTTTCTAACGCTGAGGAAAAGGATGTTGACGCTGAGGACAAGGCTCCTGACGCTGAGGAGAAGGTTCCTGACGCGAGGACAAGGTTCCAGACGTTGAGGAGAAGGTTCCTGACGCTGAGAACAAGGTTCTTGACGCTGAGGACAAGGTTCCTGACGCTGAGGACAAGGTTCCAGACGCTGAGGACAAGGTTCCTGACGCCGAGGACAAGGTTCCTGACGCTGAGGACAAGGTTCTTGACGCTTAGGACAAGGTTTCTAACGCTGAGGAAAAGGATGTTGACGCTGAGGACAAGGCTCCTGACGCTGAGGAGAAGTTTCCTGACGCGAGGACAAGGTTCCAGATGCTTAGGACAAGGTTCCTGACGCTGAGGTCAAGGTTCTTGACGATGAGGACAAGGTTCCTCACGCTGAGGAGAAGGTTCCTGACGCTGAGGACAAGGCTCTTGACGCTGAGGACAAGGTTTCTAACGCTGAGGAAAAGGATGTTGACGCTGAGGACAAGGTTCCTGACGCTGAGGACAAGGTTCCTGACGATGAGGACAAGGTTTTTGACGCTGAGGACAAGGTTTCTAATGATTAGGACAAGGTTTCTGACGCTGAGGACAAGGTTCCTGACACTGAGGGCAAGGTTCCACACGCTGAGGACAATGCTCCTGGCGCTAAGGACAAGGTTCTTGACGCTGAGGACAAGGTTTCTAACGCTGAGGAAAAAGATGTTGACGCTGAGGACTAGGCTCCTGACGCTGAGGAGAAGCTTCCTGACGCGAGGACAAGGTTCCTGACGCGAGAACAAGGTTCCTGACGCTGAGGACAAGGTTCCTGATGCTGAGAACAAGGTTCCTAACGCACAGCACAAGGTTCCTGACGCAAAGACAAGGTTGCTGACGCGAGAACATGGTTCCTGAGGCTAAGGACAAGGTTCCTGACACTGAGGAGAAGCTTCCTGACGCTGAGGACAAGGTGTCACTAAATCTCGGCAAAAGACAAGATATGTTCTTAATTTCAAAAGATTCAATGCCAATAACTTTCTTCATGATCTTTCCCAGATGCCCTCGGAAAATGTGGCGCTTTATCATAACCCAAATGTTTGTTGGCGGGTATGGAGATCCCTTTTCCTACACGTCCTTTATTGGCATGCGCCGCTAAGGCTGATGAGACTTAGAGGAAATTCTATTCCTTGGATTTCCCCTGATATCAAAAATCTGATGAGGGTTAGGGACTCTTACAAGAAAATGGCTGTTAAAAATAATTCCCAGATTCACTGGGAAAAATTCAAAGAAATACGTAACAAAGTCAATTCAGAACTAACTAAAGCTAAAACAGCATTTTTCTGTAACAAATTTGGGAACTGAGGACAAGGTTTCAGACGGTCAGGACAATGTTCCTGACACTAAGGACAAGCTTCTTGACGCTGAGGACAAGGTTTCTAACGCTGAGGAAAAGGATGTTGACGCTGAGGACAAGGCTCCTGACGCTGAGGAGAAGGTTACTGACGCGAGGACAAGGTTCCAGACGCTGAGGACAAGGTTCCTGACGCTGAGGACAAGGTTCTTGACGCTGATGACAAGGTACCTGACGCTGAGGACAAGGTTCCAGACGCTGAGGACAAGGTTCCTGACGCTGAGGACAAGGTTCCTGACGCTGAGGACAAGGTTCTTGACGGTGAGGACAAGGTTCGTGACGCTGAGGACAAGGTTCTTGACGCTGAGGACAAGGTTTCTAACGCTGAGGAAAAGGATGCTGACGCTGAGGACAAGGTTCCTGACGCTGAGCACAAGGTTCCTGACGCTGAGGACAAGGTTCCTGACGCTGAGGACAAGGTTCCTGACGCTGAGGACAAGGTTCTTGACGCTGAGGACAAGGTTTCGAACGCTGAGGTTTTAAAAGGACGTTGACGCTGAGGAGAAGGCTCCTGACGCTGAGGAGAAGGTTCCTGACGCGAGGACAAGGTTCCAGACGCTGAGGACAAGGTTCCAGACGCTGAGGACAAGGTTCCTGACGCTGAGGACAAGGTTCCTGACGCTGAGGACTAGGTTCTTGACGCTGAGGACAAGGTTTCTAATGATGAGGACAAGGTTTCTGGCGCTGAGGACAAGGTTCCTGACACTGAGGGCAAGGTTCCAGACGCTGAGGACAATGTTCCTGACGCTAAGGACAAGGTTCTTGACGCTGAGGACAAGGTTTCTAACGCTGAGGAAAAGGATGTTGACCCTGAGGACAAGGCTCCTGACGCTGAGGAGAAGGTTCCTGACGCGAGGACAAGGTTCCTGACGCGAGAACAAGGTTCCTGACGCTGAGGACAAGGTTCCTGATGCTGAGAACAAGGTTCCTAACGCTCAGCACAAGGTTCTTGACTCTAAGGACAAGGTTGCTGACGCGAGGACAAGGTTCCTGACGC